GATTTGTAAAGTGAGGAAATCAGCGATGGCATTGTTAAGTGCCTGTAGTTCCGAGTCATATGTATAACAAATCCATTCACCATGTATAGTCATTCACACTAAATATTATTCATTGCAATCCAAAGTTTGGTCTTGTTGACAGGCCAGAGGGAGGAGGGGAATGACAATTGACAGAAAAGAGCGAAAACCTCGAGCGATGTTATCACAGTCATCTGTATGATTTTTTCTCTTGACCTCAGCATAGCGTAAGTACCTCCAGTTGCTAGGAAGTGCAATGTCAAAGCTTAACTTCCATTAACACAAATCTGTTGTTTCTGTAATCTGTCTCAGTTCCAGCTGTTTCTGGACCTAGGGTTATCAACCCCTTCCCCCCCCCCCAAGCCCTGGGTCCATCATACAGATCACTTCTACTTTTAAATACTGTTCTTTTCACAGTCACTTTGTCTTTTCCACAATATCCATATCTGGTTAAACCAGACACGAACATAGTTTACATGAAGGCATAAGTGCATTTCTGCACACATTTTGGGCGTAACTCGCTAAATTCTTATCTTTGGTTTATGAATCCTGCTGTTCTTATAAGTTGAAATTCTATTCAAAACCAACAGCACATCTAATATTTTAAGTGTTTAATTTAATAATCAAGGGCCATCCTCAGGTGGTAAAATACTTGAACAGTGTGCTGTTATATACCTTACTGAATATCGATCCCTTGTTCATTAGCTTTACATTTGATTTATTACCCAATTGGATAATATCAGTGTGATAGTGAAACATAAAAATACAAATTAAAGTATGTAAATGACAACAAATAAAAATAAAAGTAGAAAGGTGTATTTTTATGTATATATGGTATGCATGTGTATGTATAAAATACTGATTTCTTAGTGAATTAAGAACTTATGTTATTACATCTATGCGGTTATTAATTAAATATAGGAGTATGAAGTTACTTGGGTGAAACATTGACATCAAAACAGCTTGGAAGAGCTGTAACACCGATGTAGTAGTACAGCCAGTTTGCTGTTTTTATTGAAATCTTGTGTTTTTGGGGCTTTCTTAACTGAAAGTACAGTGAAGTGTACATGTAAATTTCCTTTTCTTTATGGTTGATGTATTATCTGATAATTTTCTACATTTTACTGTGGTAACCTGATGTTATGCCGGTCACGGTAACTGAGCGGTCTAAGGCATGCACTGTCTTTGCTCGCTCGGAAGCCTGAATCGTGGGTTCGAACCCCACTCAGGGCATGGATGTTTGTGTGAGTTTTTCTGTGTTTGTCTACAGGTAGAGGCCTTGCGACGAGCTGATCACTTGCCCAAGGAGTCCTACCGAATGTGTAAGATCTAGTAAACCAAAGTGAAACAGAGTGTTTCATGGAGGTAGGGCTAGGCTCAAAATTGGGGCTATAGCTCCACAGAAAAAAAAAACCCTGATGTTATGTCTATAGTTACATGTTGTGCTGTAGGTTGCTTTATGTTATGCACTGCAAAACTGAAATGACCTAACAGTATAACTGAAACATGTAATGGCTTGAGTAAAACACGTCAAATACAATACAGTTGTCTCGATGTTTTTGAACATTTATTGCAGTGAAACGTGTTTCAAACAAAACGTGCCAAAAAAAATTAACATTCTTTTCCTGCAAGATTTTGGGCTTTCACAATAAAAAAGTGAACATGACAGAATCAGATCCCTATATTTTCTAATTTCTTTTAAGAGAGCAGCTCCAAAAGCACGTAAATGCAATGACAATTAACATTGTGGTCACATTAGAATGCTGACAAATCCATTCCAAAAAATTCTGTTTTCAGTTCCATGAAAAAATCTTATGCTCTCTTTTTTCAATTCCCAGTCATTTATGGTACTCTTCATTCTCACACAAGCACAAAGGTCAATAAATTTAGCTCTCTTGGACTGAGTGGTTTTGTAAAATGCACAAATTAGTAACCCATGTGACATCTACTCATGTGGAATTTACAGTCTTATTCATGAATATTTTAATTAATCTGATACTATACAGTACTTACCTTCATGTGTAACAAGTTTTTCACAACAAATATTGTTAACGTACTGCACCGCTCTATATCCATTGTTGCACTGGATGTGCTTACAAAAATGCCATGCATAATTAGATAACCTAATTTTTCTCTTCATGGAACATCTTCCTTTGTTCCAATTTCGTTAAGTAGGCTTATGCGTTCTGTGTGTGTTCTGCCCTCTATACTGCTAGGCAATTAGTCTCCTCCTTGATGGGGAGGGAGGACCGACTTTTCCCTTTAAGGGCTGAGCAAAGCAGAGGCCCTCATCCTACTTTCTCTTAAGACAGAAATTGAATACTGTCTGCTCAGAACATTACACAATACATTTTGATGGACTTAAGGCAGAATACAAAGCCTAACGCTCAAAAGACAAGAGATGGCCAATGCTAGGCAACACCCTTTATATTACTGTGTATGAGTAAGTAAACCCCACATCAAATATCTTCCATCAAAATAATTCCCTAAACTGTACATCAGGACGCTGTATAGAATAACAGTTGAGAAAACTGATGCATGCGCTCTTGGATTAAATTTGTTGGAAAATATATGTTCACAACAAAGCTTTTATATTGAAAGGTAAGCAGGCAATTAGTTCTTCCCAGAGCATCTTGTTTAATCTGGCTGTTTCTTCTGAACCCCTATAAACTGAAGATGATAGTACAAAGATGAAATGACATTGTGTACTCAGGCAGAAAGTTGTTTCAGAGAAACCTCCATTTTCAAGGTATATGAAGATGGGGGCAGCACAATCCTCCAAAACCGGAACTTCATGCTAGTCTATGCACTATCATATCATACAAGCCATTAATCTTCAGATTCACTAAGACCTCAAACTTCACACTATACAAAATCCATACAGCCCATGACTTGAGTTCTTAGGGCAGATTACAGACACCATTTTCCTGTTAAGAAAATTGGACTACCAGACTTATATTCCTGACCAAGTCAACACTAGCCTAGGTTGAAGCAGTCAATTTTGAGTGTCACTGGGTCCACAGTGGGATGGGAAGTGTGAGGAAATTGGGCTTGGGTTCATATGGTAGGCATGGCAACTTGATGTTTAACCTCAGAATTGAGATGTGGTCACTCTGCTTCTTCCCCACATCCAATATCAACCACACAATACACTTGCAATGTATACACAGGGAGACAATATTTCTTAGTTTGAGACCCCTTTTAAAGAACCTGTTTCCATTGGTTGATGTCTGTCCCAACAATGAGAAATGCAAGAACAAATCCTGGATAAGATTACAAGCTTTTACATGCATATGCTCAAAATCATCTTGGGTGATCAGCCATGTCAGTGTCAAGTTAAAAACCAACATTTCTGAGATCTCCTCAGTCTCAATCATCAGGGTTAAGATGGTCATTCACAACAGCAAGGGGCAGAATGATACAGTATATCACAATGTATAGTCATTTACCACACTGACCCCCAGATGGTCATTGCCAATGTTGGATTTAATGCAAAACTGACACAGCCAATCCCCCAAGATTTCAGCAAATCCTAAAAAACTAATGTTGAGGAATGAAATAATACAATAATTATTCCTTAGTTTTCATTTGATGCATGCCTACCTTGTTCATTGTCATAATTACCATCTTTGTCATTCTATGAATCAAAATATTTGATACTGTATCAATTTCTGCACAACAGGCAATGTATACCATTCAATAGTGTGCTAAACTTAACTACTCCCACGCCTGGGATCTCTTCTACTGCACCAACGCTGTTCTTCTATCATAGATTCTGAGCACTCTTCTCATCCAAGACAGTTATTTTACCCGATGCTAACGAGAAAGAGCAAAAACCAGGTGCACTGGTATATGGCTGTAAACAGTCCTAGTGTACCAGCCCATGGTTAAAAATGCTGATTACACAGCACCACTGGAACAGTGACATGGTTTTAATGTACGAGTAACTCTCTGATGGGGCACTACAGTTCGCTTGTTTAAAACTGCTACATTCATAAAGACATATCAACTGCACTATAGGCTGTGAAACCAAAAACTGGGTCTGATTCTTAGGATGGGATGGGGTTACAGGGAGGGGAAGGAGCTATCTTTTCCACAGCATCCAGAGCAACTCCAGGACCCACCCAGACTCCCACTGAATGGATACCATGGGTTGTTCTCCCAAGAGTTAAGCAGCTCCAGCATGAAGCTGATCACTAACCTCCATCTTGTGTCAATGTTAAGTAGGTATGGGAGCTACATCTCCACTCCTCCATACATCTTCATGGCATGGTGCTTACTTAAGCACAGAGTTAACTTTGGCTTTGCACTGTAGCTATCTTCTGACCAACTTTCTTTACAATCTAAGGAAATGCTGTATGATCCACTGTGGCTTCTAATGGAGCAATGAGCCATAAAACAAGTAAAATTTCTTTTCAACCTTTACAGATCACTTGAAGAGTACTTCTTTCTACCTCTGTCATAAAGAATGTTCAGAATTCAACATAAAAATAAGCTGTGATCATTATATTTAACAAATTATGGAACTACAGGGATTACAATTTCATTCACCAACTTCTCAAAACATAACATCCAATGTACCATCAGCACTGAAGTAAAAATGGGCCCTTATTGTAATATGTCAACATACTATTTTCAAAACTTGAAACCATCAATCACTATCAGATTTTCTTTTTCAAGTAATGACTAGAAGCCATCATACTTCATGAGGCACAAATGACCCATTTTCAAAAACAGTGCACCAAACACTCCATCTCTCATTATCACTAAGCTTAAACTACTAGTAAATCGCAACATTATTTTAAAAATTATCAGCATTAAGGGCAGCCATTAGCAATTCATTTTAAAACATTATTATACTCACACTTGTTAAAAGCCCTTATCCATCAACTGTTGGTAACTGTGTTAACAAAGCCTCCATTTTCCTTCTTCTAGCAATCTGAACAGGAACTTTCTGAGCCAAAGGAAAGGACTTGAGCACATATGGAAACCACATGCAAAGTTTTTTTTATTTCCAACCAAACTGAACAGAAAAAAAAAGAACAACCAAAAACATTTCCATTTTCCACGTAGTGTTTTCAATTAAGGCCTACCTCCTCTGTACAACATTGGCATTACATTATGTACTGATGGGCACCTTTATCAGCACCTGACAAAAATTATATAAGGGGAGATTTTTCCTGAAGCATTTTACCAGTTTACTGAACAAAAACATGTCTTTCGTGCTGCATATACCTCAGGTTATTATGTAAAAATAATATTAAATATTATAAATAATCCATGTGGTGTGCCTGTCAGTGTGCATTCTCTGCGTGACTGTGGCCATAGCAGGGAATGCGGACTGTTTGCTCATTTCACCCCCTTATGAGGGAAACAGACACACAATCAAGTCACAGTTCCAGTATTTCTGTTATACATTTTTACATATAATTCCATATACTGTCACTTGCACGTAAAAACCAAAACACATGAATTTTGCAGCAAAGGTTTTTACACAGTCAGTATTTGGCTCAAATGAATAATAAACATCACACTGGCTATAGGATACAAGTTTTAAGACCTTTTTAGCTATAATGTTCACATAATCCAATGGCATACAACTGTGGAGCACAAGATGGTTGCTTACGTTACGTACCCAAATGTGGCAACTTGACTGGGTATGGGTAACAAAGTGTGTCACAAAATTCACTATGATGACTAATTTACTTTATTCACACCCCAAAGAAGATGGTTTATATTTTCAGAGCTGTAGTAAATGTTGGAAGCTATTACTCTAATGGAAGCACATTTCATTTTAACTAAAACCAATTTCAAAGATTTCATTCAATGAACTGACCACAATCCACATAACTAGTTAATGTACTTCCCATGCAAGGCAGTACTGCATCTTCTGTCACATGTTGCCAGCAGCTTGAGAGCACCCTATGCTCAAGAGTGCAAGCAATTGTCTGAAAGTGGCTGTACTGAACTACCTAACGGACATTCAGCCACACTACACAAATTGATGAGTAATGGACCATGTAACAAAACTCAAAACTTAAAGAAGGCCTCTGTTGAAGCTGTGTGACAGGATGAAAGTGTCCACAGCAAGAAAACCAGGGAAAACCGAAAGCAGCCAGTGAAATCTATGTAACATTCCCCTTCTAGCCCTCGCAAAGAGCCCCTGCAACAAACTCATAAGCAACCCTAATTATCTACAATACGAGCATCAAGTAATAAAGTTTAAGTATCACACTTAAAAAAATTGTGCTATATTGAAAGTTGTCTGAAAAGTCTCTATTCAGTGCATTTCCACAATACTTGACTAAAACAGACCCATTTTCTTGAGTCAAATATTGATATTCCACATACCATATTATTGCTAGTTTTTAAAATGTTAGTGTATAACCAGAACCAAAATTATAGTAAATAATATTTGGCAATATCCATTATTCATAATGAGGCAAGCAACTGATACTGGCAATACACAAATATCTCAAAATCAGAAATCATCTAAAAGCTGGCAAATGCAGAAAATATAGTTAAGGTTGCTACTTTATAACCCAACTGTACCAGAACATGCATGGTTACTTTGTCAGTATATCTTATGACTATGGTGGATGATATGCCACACAAGGCAAAGGCAGCTCATCAAAGTCAATACTGTGTCTAGAGGTACGTTACTAACTCTATCAGAAGCCTGGCCTGAAACTAAGAGAAACTGGAAAAACCTTCAGAAACAAATGGAGCCCCATGTGTTGTCACTTCATAATGGAAACCAAAAATTTCAGGTAACTTCCAATATATCACAAAACCACACAAGAAATTGAAGTAGCCTGCACACATTTATGCTTTTGTTAACAGAATCAGAACCCAACTAGTTTACAAGTGCATGCTGAACATGATATGGGCTTGCAATGTGACTTGAGTTGGAATGACAACATGTGGCTCAACATTACAGATACAAATCACTACCAACTGTACGTGCATATGCCTGTTGCCCATATCCAACACCAAACATGGCAATTCAGAACCATTCTTCTTCTTTCATTTTGTACCACAATTTCATACTCACTCCTTAATTCCTGAAGGTAAAGGGCAATACATTATATGCTCAGGTAGCTACCTAACCTGTAATCTATACATATTTGTCAAAAATAAATTTGTTAATTCTGTACAATGAAGGGGAGGATTTTGCCAAAACACACACGCATTATAAGATCACTTTCATACAGCCAAGCACACTATAACAGTTAACTTGTAACCTCCTGTTATCCCCCTGTATCTGAACTCTCTTTAAGCACCAGACCTTGTTATTTCCTTTTTGAAACTTCTGCTCCTTACACCTGGAAGGGTCCATAAAGTTTCAACCCTAACGTTGTCATATCAGTCTTTCCGAAAGGAGCAGCAGCTGTACCATTTACTCCTCACTGCAGGCCATCGACGAAGAACTGAACCCTCTATACCCAACCCAAATCTTTCAAGACATTCATACCAGGTTTTAATGACAGTCTCACAAGCAAAGTGGCACTGCAATTAGGAGATTACACCAGAAAGAAACAACATTACAAAGAGAAATAATTAACAGAGGGAGCTATTGGCTATGATAAAGGTCCATGTCAAAGGTTAGTTTAAAATATTGACATTACTATATTATTTAGGTACTATTACTTGGCAACAGTAAAGGAAGGGACAAAAGAATATGTAGGCTAATAATCTTGAAAACTTTCCAACAAGCCTATACATCATTATAATTATACGAGTACTTATGAACGTCACATATGCACACTATCCCTGATATAATACACCAACTTTTTTTTTTTGAATTCAGAATAAGGGCTATCACAGTTACTGCACAAGTATACACACGTGTGCGCATGCACACACACACACACACAACCAATTTTCACAGATGTGTATGATTTCCTCCACCCTTCCCTCCTAACCCCTCCACCTAAATAGCTTTCAAATGGAGGTCAATGCCTCCACACACTGATCACACTCCTATATTAACAATAACTTCTGTAAAATTATTCATAAACTGAAAACTCCCATTGCAATCAAGAGATACACAGTTAACAATGCAAACTCTACTAATAATTCACCAGCGGTTACTTCAGATATGGCCAAGATTATATGGATAAAATAAAACAATCTTAATCTGCAATTCAAATATTTGTGATACATAATTCAGGTGACAACCATCAGAGAATTGTCTTCATGCCATCTGTTATATAGATGTATATTTAGATAGTATGTACTCTAGGTATGGCTGTATGTTATATAAAAGTCTGTCTTGCATTCTTCAGTGTTCACAGCTGCAACATAGAAGAGCACTGTTAATCAGTTCTGAGGCACTTGGTGCCAGCTTTGGGCTTTATCGGGAGTCAGTGTCTCACTAGGTTAGACCTACTGTGCAACGTTGTCGTCTAACACCTACTCACTACAGAACTGCAGCTTCAATCGCTCTCAAATTCAAAAGCGACACAAAATGGAAAAAATGTCTGCACACTGGATATCTCTTTCCCTGCCAATTTAGCTTGACAACTTTCATCATCACATTAACAATATCTGATTGCGCTGAAAACAGAAGAAATGAGTTGAATCAGGCGATCCATTTTTTTTGGGGGTGGGGGACATCTTCCTTACTTAATGTGGCCCGCCTTGAATTGCTGGGTATCCAGTTCGTTGGTCTGAAGAAAACGTCAAGATCCAGCCAAAGTCATGTTCCAGCAGCTGCTGAGTAGCAACCGTAGTGGGGTGAACCCTGCGGATACATGGGCAAGAGCTCCAACAAAATCAGCTGCTGTCAACATCAAGTGTAGCACACTCAGCCCAGCTCTGCAAAGTGCACCAACCTTAGTTGGGCAATGGACAAATGTTACAAAGATCAATACAACACGGTTTTGGTTATGTTACTTGGGCGAGCGTGGACGAAGGTACTCGCGGAACCGAGGCACTCTGTCTGGACCATCTCTTCGCCTCAATCCACCCCTGTCTGTGCGTTCACGATCATACGCTGGACGGGGACCACCCCGTCCCATGTTGTATCGCACTGGACCCTCTCGGAATTCTCGCTGTGGTGGCTCTGACATGAAAAGAAAAATTGGACTTTTAGTACAAAGAATGACTTAGTAAGTGCAAACAAACATAGCTTAGAGTTTGCGGAATAGAATACTTAATTTAACTATCTAAATGCAAAGCCCTATCACAAAACTATATGATACAAATATCAATGTTAAGTGGTACATATAGTTGCAGAAAATAGAACACAACACTTCCTTAAAAAGACCTTCAAACAACAAATATTTCATGAAGTCCGCTGTTTCCTCTAAACACTGGTACATCACCACTAACAATCACAGACTATATATCAAATAAACAGTCTTGTGCAATAACTGCAATCCTGGCAGTGGCAGTCTTTTAGGACTCAACAGAAGTTCTGGATAGACCTTGTACCACCTACTCTCCTTTATGTGGTTCCATCTGCACAATGCTGTCAGCAGAAATTATAAACTGTCGAATTTGGTGGCATATTTCCATTTACAGCTTACACCAGCATGTGGGGGGGGGGGGGGAAAAAAAAATGGGGGGAAAAAAACCCCCCCCCCCAAACAAACAGCTGCAAAATGTTTTCTGGCTTTAACTACTGATAGCATAACTGAATTGTCAACCAAACAACATACTATATACTATAATCTTGATCATTCATGTGTGGATTATTTGCTTTGCAGCTTATATGTGCACTGTTTTAAAGCATATTCATAACCCTGATGAATATTTTGTTTGCTGAGTCTATCTGCTCATCAATTTGCATTCACAAAACAAATCTAAAGCATATGCACAGTTTTTTGTGAATATGATACAGGAATTTCTGTGAAAAATGGTACAGTGACTTCGATTTTCATTTCCACTACACAACTTTTATGCATGTGTTTCTGTATCTATGTACGAGTGTAGCCCAATAAATACTTACCTAAATGAACAATGCTTTGAACAAAAGTTTCAGATGAAAATGAAATACACATTTCATGTTCAATAACTGTCTCTGCCAGTCTTATGGTTTGAGACAACTCAACAAAGTTAATACTATGCATACACTTCTGAACTTCCATGAGGTATGCTGAATTCTCCAGGTTGTCTATTATTTGTGCATCTTCTGTCCTTAAATAACATGGATAATCTCAAAATATGCTGTATTACAAATATCTACACTTCACAATTCTTGCAACCAAATGAGTATTATGATGTCCCACTTCATCCAAATGTAGGATTAATATAGGGTTAATCAAGGGGGAAGCAAAATAGATCAGTGATGGTCGCAGTGCAAGGGCCAAATTACTATGTCCCACCCTTAGGCAGCGTCTACACGAGCACACAAAACGCGTCCGTTATAACAAACGTACTTTGCCAAGGACACCACACAGCTGCAGACTGCGGTGCAGTTTTTTGTCTGCAATGAAACTACACACCGCATTCTGCAACTGTGTGGTGTCCTCAGCAAAGTACGTTTCTTATAACGGACACACTTTGTGTGCTCGTGTAGATGCTGCCTTACACACACATACTGTGACGTGGATGGCGCAACAGGAAGTAGGGGTCATGTGAACTCTGCAGTCTTGCGAGTGATGTCACATGCCCCCACTCCCTCCATCATTATGCAACGCTCAATAAACACCCCCTCCTCGCTGTGATGTAACAGGGGACACCACGGTTACTATGCAGCAATAAACAACTCTCAGCAGCGTTCCCCAGCAATGCCTGTAAATATGGCGTTTACGCAAGAGGGAAGCGATGTGGGTTTTCCGCTGCCTGACTGAGGGTTTACAAGGGAGACCGGAATGCGTAAGGAGAGAGTTAAAATGTAGCAGCTGCCGGAGACAGCTGAAGTCTATCAGTCGTCAAGTTCAGTTACAGCGAGTGAATTGTGAACATGAAGAAGTCTAGCAGCCGTGGAATAAGAACCGAACGTGTGATAAGAGTTTATATGTGATAGTTGGTGATAACTGAGAAAGTATTGGGAGTGTGTGATTCAGTGACACTTGTATAGCTCCCGAGTTATAAATATGTGAAGACTACTGAAGAGATTGTGTGGGGTTTGTAAATTGTCTAAACCCGCAACAGCGTTATAAGTATTTGTAGTTATGATTTGTAGGTTGTTAAATAAACTAATTAACAATCTGAACTGCAGCTTCAGTAGCAAACCATGTTACAATACATACATTTCACAAATCAACAATAGGCAACAACAAAAGTGTTTTTCACATCACTAGTGTTTCAATACAAGTTCCATTTGCACCTGGTTCTTGATTTCATTCTTAGCTTCGGATAACAATAACTGACAGCGATTTTTTGCCTTTGTCCAAACACCTCACAATAAAACTGCAGAATCTTGTGCAGGGAATCAATTATCCTGACATGAAACAATGAACACTCTGGCAGAGGCAGGTTAGAATATTCCCATCATAGCCCCAAATGTCAAAGGAGGTGAAAAACAGGGAAACGGGTGACTACAGGTATAACTGGGCCACCCTGTCGGTGGGGAACAAACACAGAGACCTGGTCCTGCAGGTTTGGGGCTTAACTCAAGGCTTACGATGCTGCCGAACCTGGAAGAATCTTATAACAATCTCCGCCCTTATGACATGGGGACTAAAACCAACACAGTCTCAATGCCATTTGCAGACATACATTATTAGCACATTTTTAAGAACTAACCTCGTACATCACCATGCTGCTGCACTATACGCGTTGTGCTTCCTTCCTTCTTCCGGTCCTTATCTTTCTCCTTCTCCTGTTCTGTACTCTGTTTCTCACGTAACATACGTTCAACCTTCTCCTTGTGGTGCTGTGCAACCTGTGCATAACTCAGGCGTGTTGGCCCCCCTACTGAATCCTGTTCAGAATAAAGAGAACACAAATTTAAACAGACACAAAATAACATACAGGAATCTGACCTTGAGTGAAGAGAAAAGCAATCACTAGAGATTTCTGAATCAATGAGCCTTCCCTCTCATTTCTGGATTTGTATAAACATGCTAGTATATTTATCACATACATAATATTTGTAATAGTACATTTGTTTGGTAATGCAATGCATAATGCATCGCAGGAACAATCAAAATATTTCTGTAATTTCTCTGTGGCAGCAGTGAAGTTTAACTTACTGTTGCAGAACACACATCAGCCTGGGATGTAGCTGCAGTTGTAGTAGTAAGGCTAGCCACAGTGGCAGCACCAGTGCTGGCTGTAGTCACCACCACTGTACGAGTAGGTGCTGGCGCAACATTTGTCACCACCACAGCACTAGTCATCGTGGAAGCATTGGTTGTGGTGGGCACTGGTTTGCTAGGTGTCGAAACTGCATTTGCTGCACCTTGTTTCTGCTGTGGCTGCTGTTTGTTCATCACAGATTCTACGGGCTTGCAACTCACGGTCCCACTCACACCAACTGCTTCACCATTTAGCAGTATATCATCAGTCTTAGTGGATTTGTCAGCCATACATTTGACAACAGGAACTGTCCTGTAAATAAATTGTATTCAATTTTTAGAAAGAGGAAAAGCACTTCAGTATGCTCCAGTCATGAGCTAAGTGTAGTTAATCCTGTGATGCATGTGAAAGCTCTCTAAACTATGCTTGATGGGGATCGATGGATATACGTTTGCCTAGTTCAGAACTATATGCCAACTTGGATAATATGCTGACAATTTGAAATCGTTAGGTTTTCTTGTTATAAAAGAAAGCAAATAATGCCATGAATACCTTGTTACTTATGGGATGGCCTTCTAAAATTGCACACAGAAGCAGTACTGCCAAACAGATTTTAAGGCTACATACATACAGCATGTTAATTTACATTCATTTTTAATTCAAAACAGTGACAAATACATGAAAGGAAACATATTTTGAAGTTAAAATTGCACTTCATAGCATCTCTCCAGGCACTTCGGAACACACAATACAGTATCTGCATGTTATCATTTCTACCACCAAATGTGTCCAAACTTTTATTAGGCCTGAGTGTAAATATATAACACACAAGGTACAATAAAAGGCAGGTTTTACTGTATGTCTCACATGACACCTGGAAATTAAGAAGCGTATCATACCCAGGCAACACTGAGACAAAACACAGGATGATTCTAAATTACTGTCTGCGTTCCCGTGGCCCATAGTTTTCGAACTGGAAACAACAAATTAAAACTGCTTACAGAATATAAAACTGTAACGCAAAGTTTTATTTAGTAACATGGTTAACTTTTTGAGTTACTTTCATATTCCATAAGCAGTTATATTTTTTTTGTTTGAAAATTATAAGGCACAAACCCCCTAAATAATTTATAATCACCCTGTAGAGCCAACTGGTCATACACGTAAACCACTGTAACCTATTTTAATAAATACAATTCCAGTACAGATCCTCAGTCTTTAGTGCCAAATTCACAATTCGCCAATTCATGAAGCCATTGTAAGATACAGCAGCATAAAACACTCATGCTAAAATGTAAAAGGATTATGCTGCTACCTATGTGTCACCTAAATTAATGCAACCGGTGACCTTCGGCATATAGACACATTTAATTTGTGCAGGTAATCTTGAAGGTGCAACTTCTTGTCATGTTCCTAGACTCTTGGTATGCTACACTGTCCCTCTTCTACATACTTCACCCTTAAAACAATGAACTACGAGGGTGAGTCAAATAAAAACCTTAAATTTGTAATAAAAAATCGAAATCTCGCGCCATTATCCTGTAAGTTGGTAAGCGTGCTACAAACAGCGTGCAGAATGGCCTGTAGGTTGCAGCATAGTGCAGATGCACGAACACAGTCACAGCACCAGTATAAGATGGCTGCCCCATTTCAGACTTGCACCAGGAAAGAACAGCGTTCTATTATTCGGTTTTTGTGTAGTGAAGGTGTGAAACCTATTGAAATTTATCGAAGAATGAAGTTTCAGTATGGTGATGCATGTTTGTCACAGCAGCAAGTGTACGAATGGAGTAGGAAATTTGCAAATGATGCGACTTCAGTGGAAGATGCTCCTCATCCGGGTCAGGCACATCGAGTTGCGAATCCAGAGAACACTGCAGCAGTTGAAGCCACAGTGAGGGAAAACCGCTGAGTAACACTGAATGAAACTGCAGCAAGTTTAAACATTAGTCATTGTTCAGCACACCACACTGTGCACGATGTGCTCCAGTTTCACAAAGTGTCTGCAAGATGGGTGCCACGGCAGCTGACTCCCGAATTGAAAGACCGAAGTACTGATGCTTGTGAAGAACTTCTGCGGCGCTTTGAACGAGAAGGTGATGACTTCCTGACTTCCTTGCAATAATTGTTACTGGGGACGAAACCTGCATTCACTTCCACCAACCGGAAACAAAGAGAGCGAGCAAGGAATGGTGCCATTCCTCATCTCCAAAACCAAAGAAGTTTTGAACACAAACATCAGCAGGGAAGGTTATGCTGACTCTCTTTTGGGATGAAAAGGGCGTCATCTTGAGCACTACATGCCTAGAGGGACCACTGTCACCAGTGCATCATACTCAGATCTCCTAAAAAATCATCTTCGGCCTGCAATCAAATCAAAGCGACGTGGATTGCTGTCCACAGGTAACCTTTTGCAACATGGCAATGCAAGGCCGCAACTGTTGTACTGCCCGTACAACAGCTGCGACAATCAATGACCTGCATTTTGAGCGTCTTCCTCATCCGGTATACTCACGAGACCTTGCCCCAAGTGTTTTGCATATGTCTGGACCACTCAAAGAAACAATGGGAGGAAAGACATTCCGTTCTGATGAAGTGGTACGCCACGCGGTGCATGAGTGGTTTCGCAGACTACCAAAAGAATATTTTTCTAAAGGAATTCATGCACTTCGTAAGCAATGGAGGACTTGCATTGAGCGTGGGGGAGATTATGTTGAAAAGTGATACAGCTTTGTACCACATGTGCACAATAAATACTCAAAAAAATATTTAACGTTTTCATTTGACTCGCCTACGTAAATAAAGCAGTACAGCAAAGCAATTACATAAAAGTATATAGGTTGAAACATGTTGCAGAAGTGACATATAAATGAGGAAGAATGTAGCACACCAACAGTCTACAAGCATGACAAGAACTTGCACCTTCAAGACTGCCCATACTAAATTAAACCATTAACCTGCACAACAGGATGCTGAAATATAAAATATTATTCATACAGCATGCAATTCAAAGGAACATACTTATCAGGGGACAAGGGTGGAGTTTGTGAAACTATATGAAGGCCCGGTTCACTGCTCGTCCCCACATCTTTCACTTCTCTGTCACATGAAGGCGCAGGGGATTGAGCGTGGACAGGGAGTGGAACATGACTAGTCTGCTGAGCCAGTGGTGGGGACTGTTGCGCCTTCATCTCAGGAACAGATGCTGCCTTGGGAATAGGAGATGCTGGTGATGTTGCACGTGGAGAGGTGCAGACTGCTGCACCACTGTCCTTATCTTTTGAGTTTGTGCTCTTCGGTTTGGCAGTGCCTTTTACAACATCTGACAACCTATGATGAATAAAACATTTAACATTTTATACAGTATTTCATTAATATTACGCAAAATACATTCCATCAGATTAATGGGTACAATTGAAGGGAAGGAGTGAAACAGTGGCACTACTGACAGAATTATATTGTGTATAAAAGATGCCTCCATCTTCATGGGCTGTAGAATATGCTGAGCAAGTCAGCAGTATACTTGTTCAGCTTACTCTACGCAGATCTCTAAGATTATTTTTACATTATTATTAATTAAATCAAATTCTGTGTGACTGTTAGTAACAATTATGAAGCTTTTGTCAATTTTATAAACAAAAAACAGCTGTGTAAGGTACTGTTATACCTCCAGCCCTTTCTGTTTATGTACATGTACGAGAGGTACCAAGAATGTTACCAAATAACTCATTCCTATCATAAAACATTTCCTCAGGCAATACCTGTCCCATCAGCACACTTCTAGCAAAATGAAGCAAAATTCCAACTACAGTGTGATTAGAAATATCTCCACCATATGCCAGAATAATAAGTGTCTCGTAGAAGGGCATGAGAGATCAAAGAAAACACTTGCAAAGAGATGAAACAATAAAACCAACTAAAACACTGTTGCACACTCATCTGCTCTATGTGAAACAGCCCAGTTTCACATCACATGTATGTATGTAAGTTAACCACCACAATCTTATCTGAATCTAGAATGTGTGAAATGTGCAAGTCAGCGAAACAACTAAGACATGGTTTGATGTATAAATGAATTCAATGTAAATGGTCCAGTGGTTCAAGCAAAACTATAAAACCTCATTGTGGTCCATTGCCACCCATCAGACTTACCAACAAGCACACAGGCAATGAAATGCAGAAGGTAAAGGCTAGTATCAATAATGTATTAACATATCCTGCACTGTATATATATATATATATAAGGGGTGGGCCATAAAACTGTCCCCCCCCACACTGTGACCTTCTATGATCTATTATTCTGCAATACAGAAAGGGTTAAAATGAGGGAATTTATAAAATTTGTTACCCATGAAAACCATTACCTAACTTGTGGACATTAACCCTTACAATGGGCCCCCAAGTCTCCAGTTACACTGCAACATATTCAAAAACACAATACTGTACATGACTTTCAAGCCATGTGGTGACCTGAGCAACCACTTACAGACTAATCATACATTCATTTGCTGACAAGCCAAACCCAACTAATGACGTGATACACATTCTGAATTTCAACATCACACAAAAGGCCCAGTCTTCAACATGTAGTCACCAAACCACACAGTACAGGGCCATCACAGCATGCAGGATTCTATTTCACTTTCAAATGATGAACAATTTTTTTCCCCTGCGCAAGCACTGGCAACACCAGATATCCAGGCATTTTCTGCACAGTGCTGATTTTTAGGCATAGATATCAACATTAAGCTTCATTATGCTAATGGTCTTCACCACTCCTAGACTTAGATGACAATACATTTTCACATAGAGTGGAACCATACATTAAAGATAACAGGCGTTTATATCAAACTAAACAGTCGAAATTAAATACTCTGAACAATCATTTTTCTGAATCAACAGTAACATTTTTCAAATTCACAGGTACATATGAAAACATCTCACAATTTTGTTGCTACCCCATTCAATACTCCAGACTTTTTCCAGCACCATCAATATATTCATGGAGACTCACTTGGCACCGGACATTTTAACAATATAGCCAATGTCCTTCTAGATTTATTTATGGTGAGTTACATGCATGATGCTCTTGGATGTATTTCTCTTTAGATGACGACTTGTATGTTCATCCTGATGAAAATGTTACAGAGCAGCAAATCTACCATACTACACTCACAAGCAATGCCTATTACCAACTCACCTATTTTCCCAATGAGAACTTGAACTGTCCACCTGCACAGTCTCAACTGGAGGATTGCTCTTGGCACTCACACCAACTCCTCCTTCCAACCCTGGCAATGGGGGAAAGGCAGTGGCTTCAAGGTCAAACTGTATTCCCTTTGAGGAATTTGTTCCAGTGCTGTCCCTGTTTAGGGGCTGGGGACTACCTCCTGAGGTAGCTTTCCCACTCCCCATCATGGATGATGCTCTTCCAGGACCAATCGCCTCATCTTCCTTTCTCCTTCGCCGATGTCTACAAAGTTAACAGCGGAGAAATCAGCCGAGCTCACCAAATGCAGCAATACAGAAAGTTACACACATGGGAAGGGATACACATTTCTCCCAAATGTGTGTTACTGGTCCTTGGGCATCTGTAGGTTCAATCCTGCATCTTTTACTGCCACTGTTTCTCCGGAAGTGTGGTTATGCACTGTACTAGCCACCAACCAAGTATGCAGATTCATCAAGTTACCACACTACATCCATATCAATGTGAAGCTGTCCACAACATGCAGTTTCATTCCAAAGCATAATGTATATGTACGCACACCCTTCTAATTTTCTAGTGCAGTTACCAATAGGAACCATTGCAAGCCATTTCAAATTTACAACATAAAAATGAAAACTTGAAAGACAACTTACAAACGACCTTGATGAACCCTCTGGACTACTGCAGCAAAGACAATGTAACGTGCAACTCAATTTAATATATAAGCATATCAAACTTGCTAATCCAAACTTATTACAGAAACACACCACCACAATGAGAAAATAACCTAAAGCAATGAGCAACTATATACGAGGGTAAGTCAATAAGTAAGTTACAAACGGATATAGAACTTAAACAAATAAGAGTACTGATTTGTTCACAAGCCCCTGAAAACCAGCAGCATAGAATTCTTTGGGCTGCTACCGCAACCAGGCGGTGACTTCCGTTTCACCAGCTTCATCGTTGGGAAAATGTTCAGCCGAAAGATGAAAGAAGGGCTGAACATATGGATGGCCCCGACCTTGCTCCAAGTGACTTCCATTTGTTCAGCCCTCTCAAACATCATCTTTCGGCTGAACATTTTCCTGACGATGAAACTGTAGAAAGGGAAGTCACCACCTGGTTACAACAGCAGCCCAAAGAATTTTATGATGCTGGTTTTCAGGGGCTTGTGAAACGAGGGGACAAGTGCCTAAATGTACAGGGAGATTATGTTGAGAATTAAAAGCATTTTTCAAATCGGAACTCTTGTTTAAAGTTTTATATCGATTTGTAACTTACTGACTTACCTATATGGTATACTTTGGTTACTGAACTGCACAGACAAATTATCATTTATTTATTATCAATATATATAAAGTACACATTCATGGAAGCAATCTGACAAAAAGAATGGGGATTTGTATCTGCATATCGCAAAAAGCTCTATTACTGTGTGAGATACCTTGAGAACTAACTGACAAATTCAGAACAAAGCTCCTACCAAAAAAAAAAAAAAACCAGCAGCAATTTGAACTAATGTTTACACAACACGGTTCTCAAATCTGGCATGAAAACTATGGGATACAAAGGACCTTCGATTTATAAGAAAGTATCTTTTTAAGCAGGGCATGCATAACATAACATAACATAACATTGAAGGTAGCCTGCATTCGTTCATTTTCTACGAAGAGCAAATTATGTATGAGGGCTAACCATATGTACTAGGAATGTATTCATATCCCAGATCAATTGTACTGTACAGTACATACATCTGACGTGTTGTACAAGTAGAGTAATATTTACAGTTTGCTTACTGCTTCAGTCATTTGTGTCCAGCACGCTTTTTGCCATGTGATGATTCAACCATGTCTTAAGAGACATATTCACTTTCTGTGGCCTCTGACTTTGCTGAATATGCACAAAAGGATGAATATTTCTTTAAAAACAGAGTAAGTGATGAAATACAAGGCAATTATGAACCTAACACTAAAAAGCATCAATACAATGGAAATTACTTCCACAACTGAAACAAAATGTCTACCCCACAGAGATGTAAGTCGTTATTCCTTCATGAAAATGCTGTGCACTGAGTGTACTCTACAAGTTAATACCTGATAAGCAAAATTTCTATGTTAAAATTTATTACAGGTTTTGGTGAAACAATTCCTGTCTAAATTGAATAAATTTATATGGTTTTTACTTTATAACAAGCTTTGACCATTTATGGTCATCAGGTAAATCATTTTACATTAACACTCTACTTTTTCTGCAAGCATAAAATAATTAGATTAAGATTAATTATGATTTTAAATTAAGTTAAAATAAAACAGAAGTGATTAATCATTACTGTTATTAATAGAAATTTCTCTGTTGCAGTTTTTAAATGTCAGTTCTTCTTGGTCACTCATAAGGCATCCATACTTCACATCACACTATAATTAATATAATTATTTATTATTAAAATTATGGTAGCTGTTGGATCACAATAGAGCAAGGTCTTCACTTGTGTGACCTGTAAAAATTAACTGTGTGCTGGGTCGGATATGCGCCAACTATTTGTATGTATCTGTCTCCTTATGTAGTAACACTGTAATAATAATAATAATAATAATCTTCTTACGAATGGTTGTGTGTCTTCAATGAGTGACTGTGTAGGACTGACACAGTGGATACAATATTACTAATAGTAACAGTCTATATACAAAGGCTAAGATATGCTGATGATGCAGTGCATCACAAATGGCTGCAGAAGTGATAATGTGATAAGATGCAAATAGTAGCAACACAACATGCAACAAGAAGAAAACCAGTGAATGGGCTTAACAACAGGGCCTACAAGCATTTCTGTGCACACCTTGCTAACTATATATTGCAGCAGAAAACATTTTCCAAACAAAAGTTGTAAAATAAATATGATAGTAAATTCTGCCTTATGAAAGCAGATTACAAATGTGCACACACAAGTCACANGGGGGGGGGGGGGGGGGGGGTTGGATATGGATGTGGCTGTTGTACAGAACTGAAATTCCTGAATGGTGAGCGGATGCATTCTACACTTCGTAGAGGCATTATGCAAGGCAAAATAAAGATTAAACTAGTACCTCCTCACAATGTAAACTGATTAGACTTCCGATTTTGATGTGCTCATTGCAACCAATTCCAAGTAGCTCCATAATATATGTAAAAGGTAAAGCTATCCCTGTAACAGGCTGTGATGGCCCATAGGGTTGTGAGATGTTGAGGTTCCCGCATTCTCTCTAGAGATTCGGCTCACAGATGGTGGTAAGGTTGTCAGCCTTATGCATCAGCTGCCCTTTAACCCCAGGAAAATTCCTGGTACTCATTTTTGTTAGAGGTCGAGTTGACCCAAGGGCCACAGTGCAGCTGGAAGTATTAGGTAAATTTCCAGCTTATAGCGCAGTGCCTCATCCAACTATGCTACCGTGTGCCCTTCCATAATATAGGGGAAAGTTTTATTATTGCATGATCGCATAATTATGAAATGTGTAAAGTGGATTGCTTCCATGAGATGTTACCTTCCACTGAAAGATGACACAGACATTTCAGTTCATAAACAAAACTATCTTATTTGTACATCATTAAACATACAATTTTCATAAAACTGATGGGAGTTATGTTGCATCAATAAGAGCCAAACGAATTCGCATAACTTTCCCTGCAGACCCAATACCAAAGCTTCAATAATACGTCAAGCAGTTGTGAAGACAAAATGCAGACAGATGCAACTGACCTCCCTGCCATTCATTTCCTGTTCTTCTTAGAAGAATATACTGATCCTCTGCATAACCAAACAAATAATTGACAATTCTAATAAACGTTTTCAACGTGCTTAGGCATCAAACTACATCACACAGCATGTATGGTGATAAAGCACCACACATTCCAAATCTTGATGCTAGACAGAGAGTAGTAGTTAGCTCCCATTACATTCCAGCCACAATTACAATTCAGATACGAGGAAGTCCATTGGCCATCCTTCCATCCTGCTAGTCAAATACAAACGAACAACCATGACAACATACAAGCATGTGATGCATGATACCAATGGACCATAATGGGATAATATTTCTTTTTGCAAAATTAAATACATCCCCATAGTACTGTTAGCTGACATGACACCTCTGGACCAAATTTGCTTCAACCCTTCAAAATGCCGTTTGCACATTTCAGTGGCAACTTACTTTAATTCCGAAGTGCCAGGAGCTGGCATGACAAGTTTAAGACAACATATACAAGGTGTGACAATTTAATTCCTGGAATGGCCCTGTGAAAGCAAAACTTACTTACCTGTGCACTGGCAGCTGCTGTCGCCTTTGAAATACTCTCCTTGTGAAGCTAAGGACTTTGTGAGACGATGGTGCCACTGCTGGAAACAGTCTTGAAAATCTTTGTCCCTTCAGGGCATATTTTAATTTCGGAAAAACCCAAAAATCGCAGGGGGCTAAGTCAGGTGAATAAGGTGGATGGTCTTTGTTTTATAATTTCCTAGCCAGAACTTGCAAACTCTTAACGCATCAAGCGCAAGGCCATTGTCATGGTGCAGAATCCACTTGTCAGGCCAGAGTTCAGGTATTTTCCTTCGATCAGATTCCCATAACCTCTTCAGCACTTCGAAGTAACACTGCTGATTCCCCTTTTGTTTGTACTCTGTTCACATCTGCATTTGTCCTTCGCATTTTTGACTGCCCACTTCTTGGGTAATCTTGCACATCTTCTCACCCTTCCTTGAACTGCCCATGCCATTAAAAACAATTTCTTCGTAGTGTGTTCACCATTAGCCACTGTTAATAGGGCTAATGTTTCACTAGCACTTTTACCAATCTTCGCACAAAATTTGATGTTTATTTACTGCTCCAGTTTTTTGTCACTCATTTTTCCGCAAAACAGTATATAACAGATGCGTACTACTTCCTCTGCCGCTTGGGAATGAACGATTCATTTGGTCTGTGGCTCATGTAAACTCAAGTTGGAACAGGTATGAACATACAGATACTGGGTTTTCGGACTTTGTCCATCGTCCAGATTCTAAATAACTAAGAAAAAAAAAAGTTTCGGAAACTGCATCTGTTTACATCCTCAGGTGAGGGAAGACACATACTCTGTTGGGTCCCTTAGAAAGAGCTAGCATCAATCTCTGGATTGACTGAGTCCTCAGCCGAGGATGGAAACAGATCCAGTTTCCGAAACGCTGTGTTTTTTCTTAGTTATTTAGAATCCAGACAATGGCCAAAGTCCGAAAACCCAGTATCTATGTGTGTTATACACTATCGTCAGAACCCTATAGTATCTACATGTCTGAACATGCTTGGGTACACGAGTTTGCCTGACTCAACACCCCAGCAACATGTTGCGGCCATTCCGGGAATTAAATTGTCGCACCTTGTACAATACACTTAGCATAAATAACATCAGTCCCAAATTAACATATTTTCTTTACAGTATGTAAGGTGTTAAAATTCATCACCCAGCTCAAAAGTCAAGCACATTTTACTTTAACCACAGCAACATTTTTGTAGCCATGAATAACATACTTTCAGAAATTTCACACTGGTGCAAGTCCTTCTACCCAGTAAAACAAAAAATATCCATGAGTTACCATTTGTTTATACAGATAATACACCTTTTTTAAAGATTCACCAAGAAGGAACTTGTGGCCCATTTTATGATGCTAGTCCAGACGTCTGGAGTCTCATCAAATTAAGTTCATCATGTACAAACCTTATCATGGCATTTATGTCGCAATCATCATAATATAAACATGCATATAAAAAGAGAAGGAATATGTAATCACTGTAACAAATTCAGACATATACAGTAATTCACCCTGCACACAGGATTGCTTCTGCGTACAGATGTACCCTTTGCCAACATGTTTCGACAGAATTCTCCTTCATGTGTAGTACAGCTAGTACAGCCGTGTCAAACATGCGGCCCCTCAACTTTTAGAGCGAACTGACATTAAAATCAATATTAAAATTTTAGTAGAAATATTTTTTGTAAAGACAATTTTCAAACAGACCAGGAGACAAGAAGTCTCACGCAGACATAAATTAGCAGGCTGCAGGAAATTCAATGTTTGCTATTTCTGATATAATTTCTTGTGTAATCTCTCTTTTTGCATATTGAAAAGCTGTTTGATACTTGTCAAAAATGGCATTCTCTTGCTTTTTAGAACTGTAAGATATGTGACTTTAGGTAATTATATTGAAATTATTCCTAAATAATAAATAGAATTAAATTTCCTTGTATCAAAATTTAATGTATATTTCTATTTTGAAGTGCAGCCCGGGACTATTATTTATAGGGCTGAGGTGGCCCTCTGTACAAGTTGAGTCTGACATGCCTGAGCTAGTACATGTGGGGGGGGGGTGTCTTCTGGGTTGTAATGTCCAACAGTTGGGAGATAGCCGAAGATTTTGGAGGCACATACTGTTTCTTTGACCTTTAAGATGGAGGTAACATGTTCCTGCAAACCTGTCCAACTCTCTCTTAACTAATCAGCTTTGCAACCAACCCAGAAGACTCTGGATCTGACAAGTTCAGGACAATACAGCCCACTACTGACTTTTTGCAATCAAAGTTATGTACCTTCAGCTACCACAGAAAGCAGGGAATTTTTTGAACACCAGGGTGACAATCTTGAGAACTATGGATCATGGACAACCCAGAAGACTCTGGATCTGACAAGTTCAGGACAATACAGCCCACTACTGACTTTTTGCAATCAAAGTTATGTACCTTCAGCTACCACAGAAAGCAGGGAATTTTTTGAACACCAGGGTGACAATCTTGAGAACTACGGATCATGGACATAAGTTTATGTAATCTCAACCAGATCTGATATACCCCAAAATCCTATTACAAAGACAATCCCAAGACGTTTATATAACTAAATTCCAAGAGCAGTGGTCAGCACTCCAGTTTCATATCCAGGTTATCCAAAATTAGGCTTTTCTCAGCTTCTTCAAATATCCTGGGTTCTTATTAAATATAAGCCACAAATACCTCCTCCCACAACCATCCTCATTTCTCTTCAATTCTATGCAGCCTTTCCAACTGATAAATATACATATTAGTAAGCTGATATGATGAAACATATCTGATGAATTCTGTATTCACAATGAGCTAGTGCAAGGCGATGCCTGCTAATTCTGCTGCAGAATATGCCCTCAAATAGTAAATAAAATCAGCAATGCCTTGAATGTCTACATAAGGTTCTTGTGGATACTGCTGGAAAAAATACCATACATTTTATCAGATATTCTTCTACAGGTCAACAAGGATTCCATCAATAACCGCTGACAAAACTATAGAAATGACCATGTACAAGAATCAGAATAAACAGACATGCTCATACATAACATAAATTATACAAAGTAGTAAGAAAAAACATATAACTAAATGAATCACAGTATTTCCAGCACAGAATAGATTTTATGGTACTATATCACACTGTGCTACTTGCTGCTTTCCATGAAGGTCCCTGAATGCAACAACCTTTCAGGAAGAAACGTCTACAACTTTGTCAGTGTTACTTTACTAGATGCCAAAGCTGCTATTACTATTAGCACCCAAAATTTTCATTTCTAGAAAGAAATCTACAACGCACACCAAAGATGAGCAGAAACAAAAGGAAGATAATAAAGATTGATCTGAAGACACTTCTTTCAGTTCAATATGGTATACCATTAGTGCAACTGTAAAATGTAATAGCAACATAAGTTTTATAAAGAAAACATAACCACTTGTTTAAACACAGAATTTGGGACGAACTCTTGTCTTACGTTACCCAGGCATAAAATATTTAAGTGGTCAACACAGTGATGTGACCTGATGTCATGGCATGGTTTTGAATTATGCAATACATCATGGTCTGGCAGGCTCTTGTTACATTGTGTGTCAGAGTACCTACATAATGGCTGAAATATGTGTAATGACACCAAATTCTTATATGACAGCAAATGTATGACCTAGAATTCATTAAAAATGCCTGAACTCTTGTGATTTGGGATTACTGTATGCTGACTGAAAGTTGTCATGTCTCAAGGTTCATGTATGACAGACTAATACTTTCATCAGAATGACCAGGTTTCTTAACTCTGTCCATCTTCCAGTATTCTAAAAAATAGAAAACAATCTTTAGGAAACACCCAGTTGTTTTGTAGTTTTCAGAATACTGGACGATGGACAAAGTCTGAAACCCCTGTCATTCTGGGTTATAAACCACTGTCAGAACCCTTTAAAATCTAATAATCTGTTTTACAAACTCAGAAACTTTTGTGCCAGTCAAGCCACAATATTTTATAAAGCTCATTTTTATTCACATGCTTCATAAAACTTGGCTGAACTTCATAAGGACAAAAAAATAATATCCAGAGAAAACAGTAACAACCCCATAAATAAGGGTGAATAGCAAGACTTCTGAAGACTGCCTATGATTGAATATACTTAAGTGATTACATACTGGTTGTTATCTGTCATATAACATATATGACAACTTTTACTTTTTGAACTTATGTTTCTAATGCACTCATGCAAGATAAAGGGTGAAGTGTCCCCATGCTTAAATACAGCACACCACCTCCAAGATGTAACTTTCTTGTAGTCAGTCTCATGTGCCAGCTACTTTAGCCCCCCCCCCCCCAAATGTGGACCCTGGTACAACATGCACAGGGGATGAATGCCCCCAAAGTTATTCTAAAGACTGTGAAGGAGACAAAACTTGTCCCGCTGGGAGCTGAGTTCTAATTCCCCAGTTATCAAGTCTGTAGCCTAGTTGCTGCACTGACTGAACTAATTGCAAAAAGCAGCAGCAGATTGCAACTTCATTCTATACTGACAGCTACATGACAGTTTTTTTTTTCCCATGTGGTTTATGCTACATTTACTAATAAATTCAGAAGAAAAATGCATCTATATTACAATGCAGAATTTCTTACAATTAACCTCTTAAAAATGACCTGCAAGGACAAATATTTTGGAGCCTTGCATGATGAAACAATGATTTCCTGTAAGTATTTCCATCCCCATAAATACATCCCATATACAGAAGCCCAAACTTATAATAGTCAGTTTAACAGTTCAGGGATTAAATTTTCTTTTCTTATTGCTAGTTTTTGTTGTTGAACAAAGCAATCACTCTGCTGGTGTGTGCACACGCGCAAAACAATGACATAGTAAAACGGTTTTATATTGTGACATGTTGCGAAATCTGAGCCCCCCCCCCACACCAGCAGTGACGCGGTGGGTGAGTCAGCGCTCCCCTCCCACCCCTCAGCGGTAACGTAACGCTCGCGGTAATAGGCGAGTAATAACCCCGCAATGCGCAACGCGCGGTGACGTCACGAGCGGAGCCGAAGAGAGCCGAGCGGAGCCGAAGATAGCCGAGCCCCGTAACCTGGCAACTACGCAATGCTAATCAACAGCGGTGATGTCACGCTAGCAACAGCGTCCTATGCTATACGCCACGTCACACTAGCAACAGCGCAAGGCTATATAAGCGGACCCACAGCAGTGTGATGATGAGTTGAAACATAGCAGCCTGCGAGTGTGCGACAACTAAGAAGTCAGCGAGCGGAAGACTTATTGTGTGCTTTCCAGACATAGTGATTGCTGTAGTACAGTTATACTCAGAGTGTGTATTTCAGGGAGACTTGTATAGCTCCCGCGTTATTAGTACGTGATGACAAGTGAAGACAGTGTTAGGAGATTTGTTGTAGGGTTTGTAAAGTGTGGAAACCCGTGATATTGTGATAATTAATTGTAGCCGTTACTTGTAGATTGTTCAATAAACCAGTTAACGATCTCTACGGCGTATTCAGTAACGTAAACACGTTACAATATGAATACTGTGTTCGAAGTTCTCCATGTTGGGTATATTTGATTTTCAGTGTTTTGGAAATGGACCTATATCCATCACCACATATAAGGCAGTAAGGGAAGATCCTACACAGTTGCGAAAGGTCCAGTTTCTACTCCAATGATAGAGATTCTCTCTTTCTAACAAGTCAAACTTAGCAGGAAGCCATCCCCTACTCCCAGCAAAGGAAATGAACAGTTTCAGAAACACTGTGTATCAGATGTACCCAAGACAATATACAATGTTAACCATAATATTCACATAAGGAATCTATAAGTCATTCATTTCAGAGAATATAATACAATTATTACCTTGGAGGCATAGGCTCCTTGTTAGTCAAGGCTTCTCTTGACTGTCGGTAGGAATTGTCATCGCTATCTGAGCGCTGAGAAGGGCCACCAGGAGTACTCTGACTAGGTGCGGTGCTACTTGGGTCACTGCTGTCCTGCAGTACTGAGGGATGATGGCTCTTGGAATGATTGTGATGACTCTCTGCAGTTACTCCAGCAATTGGTGCCTGCTGCGGTTGCTGCTGCTGTGGCGGCGGTACTTTACATACAACACTACTACTGCTCACACTCTTCGCAACTGCCATGTTAGTGCCACCCACTGCACCACTCACATGCCCCGTTCCTCCAAGATGATATGAATGTAAAGAGGTGGACTGTCTCACCAGGCTGGCACTGCTATCTCCTATACTTCCACGGTCACCACCAGGCTGGTTTCGTTTGTTTCTGTAGAAATTACAATCACTGCCATAATGATGACAAAAGACAGTTACTTGCAATGTTTATATTTGCATAACAGTAATTATGCAAAAGCAGAACTCTCTCTCTCTCTCTCTCACACATGCATTCAGTCATTTTATCATGACTACAATATAACCATATGGTTTTGCTACCAACTAAAGCACTATCAACGAAAATTCATTACCAGTAACATCAATGACATTTACATCCACTCACAAGCCCTTTAAGTAACTCCACATTTACTTCAAATGCACAATAAAAAGTTCCCCAAAGAGCAACAGCTGTAAAGCATTGCCAACACTACCTGCGAGGGAGATATCTCGAACTTTGCGGTTTACTGAAGGATCCCTGTGGTGCAAGACCATTCACAGAAAATACGGTGCTAATATCATAGTACGGACTTGGACTCCAATGTGGGAGCATACTTGGAGTATAAAACGGTTGGTGCTGCTGGAAAGTCTGTAAAAGAATGCAAACAGCTACAAGCAAATTTTTTAATGTAAGGATAATAAATAAATTCTTTTATAACATAGAAAAGCACTGCAAACAGTCAGAAATCAAAATATTCACAATGAAACATTGAATTCAAGATCTGTTAGCATCCCATGTCTAACCTTTAATCAATTAAAAAAATAATAAAAATTAAAAAAATACACAGAAACAGTAATATTAATGGTACTTACATATACATGAACCTGATTTCCATAATTAACACTAGGAGGTATTGAGCTACCATTAGTGTACAGAAACCTCTGCTGGCTGCCCTGGTAAGCATTGGGGTCATACAGCGCTGCAGGAGGTGTGCGGTAACCATTCTTCATTGCTGCTCCCATAGCAGGAACAGGTGGCAGGGGCAACCTATTCATTGGTTTTGCTTTGATACGTGCCATTATAGGCTTACCCTGTGAACAATGTAAGTAAAAACACAAAATAAAAATAGAAATAAAGCCGTCCTCTGCTAAGACCCTGATAAATTATATGCATTCTGAAGTATTCTTTCTTTTCATGATCATTCTCCATTTTTTAAAAGAACTTCATGACTCACAAGACAACAAACTGATAATTCAATTAACACAGGTTCATACAGAATTTAATTTGCAGCTTGATTCATTGTGGTCCCTCACAACAGTAATAGTATAAATGATCATTTATGCCATCCAGTGTGACTGATGTTTTTTTAATCTTTCATCCTTAACATGTTTCAGTTGGAGCGACCATCTTCAGATAAACATTATCAGTACATATTGAAATTACTATTATATCATAGGCCATTATCAGTAGATATAGAAACTACTATTACAGTGTCATAGATATAAAATATTATATCCTTTAACAAGTACTAAGATGTGCATGAATTTGGTAAAACATTTATAAATTATTATTAATTAGCCTATTTACAAATTATTGTTTAAAAAACGTTTTGTTAAAATCTAGAACCAATTTGGTTCATGTCTTTACACTTCTCTTTAAAGGAAGAGAAGTATAAACAATACTTTGTAAACAGACTAATTATAATAATTTATAAATGTTTTACCAAATTCATGCATATCTTAGGAACTGCTAAAGGATATAATACTGTGACATGTTGCGCAATGGAGGACAACCCCTCCCTCCTTAGGAGTGACGTGGCAGCTCTGGCCACAGTGGCGTAGCCCCCACCCCCCGGGCTATGTGGCACCACTTCCTACTGTGAGACACGCAATCCAGCTGTGACAAGGCGTCAGGCAACAGCGGTACCCATTACGCAACAGGCAGACACTGCGACTATATAAGGGAACTGCACAGCCACCGAAGGAGTTAAGTGCATCAGTTGCCGAAGCGAGTGCTCAAGGCAGCAGTTACGAGTTACGAGTTAGCCAGCAGTGAGTCAGTTAACCAGTCAAGAGCTGTCTATCTTTCATTGGAGTATTTGTGATACTGCCGACGGCAGTAATTGTCAGATTGTAAATTGTGTGACTGTAAGAGCGACTGGAATAAATTTGCTATATCAAATAAGGCGTGAAGTTATTTGTCGCATTACATACACATGTGACAATATTTTATATCTATGACACTGCAATAGTAGTTTCTTTATGTACTGGTAATGACCTATGGCATTACAATAGTAGTTTCCATATGTATTAATGTCCTTCTGAGGAGGGCTGCTCCAACCAAAATATGTAAAGGATGAAAGATAATAATAAAAATAAAAAAAAAAAACATTTATCAATCACATTGGACAGCGTTAATGATGTTTTATATTATATTAATTTACAGCTTTCAAAAACCTAACATATATCAGAGTTTATTCATTCATTTGGTGCTATGTAAACTTAATATTTTACTCAACATAAAACAGCAGTATATGTGAAATAGTGAGGATATTGTCCGATCATCTGCCTGCAGAGCCAGATAGAAAATCATGAAAAACATCAGAATGGCTAGCATATGAGCTGAGCCGAGACTCATAAAATGTTCATTTATTTGGGTTTAGTATAGACAATATTTTCTCTTTTTCAATATCGTACACAATGCCAAGAAAGTTGATTCATACTGCCATCCTACTCTGCTTTTTGATGAACTGCCAGCTTAAAATTCAAGTCCAAACTCTTCCCTCTAGATGCCATAATTACAGCTTTTCAAAATTTTGAAGGCACAGGCAACCAAAACTTGGGGAAGTTTTAAGGTGACAAAACCTTCAATATGCGCCAATGTAGCTATATATTCTGTAACCTCAACTTCCAAGCTAAGTTAGTGGAAACTACGGGGAAACAAGAACCTGCATGACAATTTGGGGAAGATACTGCACGGTGATCCCATAATTAGAATTCAAATAGCCAAGTGACATAATGAATAGTTAAGAGACTGGAGAAGATATTCAGACAATGTTACATGATGTAAATTTCTCAATGGTTAAAACTCGGAGGGAGTAAGCTGCTCTCTGTGCTCATTAGCAGTTCTCATGATGATGCTGGAAGGAAAAAAAGCCTTCATTTCATGTTATGTTTTTCACTAATGACAGTTTTAAGAAACTAATGAATCACATAGCTTTTGACACTGTAACAGTCTTGTTATAAGCCATGCTTGCTTTATTGTAGTTTCACTGTATACTGCTTTCTGGGTCATTTCATGGTACGACCAAATATCATTTTCACATCAACAGACACAAACATAAAAAAGGAGGCATTTCTACAGCAAAATTAACAGGAAAGATACCTATGTGAAATTTTTAAACTAGAAATTACATGGATTACAGGCCTCAAAGTCTCTGTTCAATGCATCATTCCATACAGATTATGTGCACCACAGCATTCACAGTAGTCCTTACAAGTACTCGCTATAGCACCAATTTTCACGATCTTGGGAATACTTGTTGTAATAGTCTTCCACTGCATTAAACATAAGAATGGGGGGGGGACACAGTACATTACTACACGTGAAATTAATACAGTGGAACCTCACTTAATGAGCAAACCAAATTGTAAAAAAAATGACTCGCTTAACGAGTGATGAGAGGGAAACTCTAGGATTGTGCGCTTGCTACATCAGTCTGTGTTTACACTTGTTCCGCTAGCATCTTAGTGTTGCTTGTGATCACACATTTTTCCAAACTTGTGTTCAGACATATTATTTGTGATTTTTTTGAGCAAAGTTCAATAAGCCTTGCAAAAATGTCCCCGAAGAAAAAGCGGCAAAAAGACAGCCATAAGAGAATAAAAATAACCGTAGAAATGAAACGTAAAATCATTGAAAAGCGAGAATGAGGTGTGAGTGTGGCTGATCTAGCAAGCACATACAATCAGTCTACATCAACGATTTGCACTATCCTCAAGAACAAGGACAAGATTAAGGACACAGATGCTCCAAAGGGAGTGACAAGAATATCTACGGAACAGTTATGTATTCTCGACGATGTTGAAAGGTTGCTCCTCATATGGATAAATGAAAACAATTGCAAGGAGTCACTATTAAGGAGAATATCATTTGTGAGGTGACCTCGTTAAGAAGACGCCAGGATCATCAATGGCTGAAGAAGCATTTAAGGGAAGCCGTGGGTGGTTCGAGAAGTTTAAGAGAAGAACCTGCATCCACAGCGTGGTAAGGCACGGTGAAGCAGCAAGCTCCGACACAAAGGCAGCAGAGAACTTCATCGGTGACTTCAAGAAGCTCGTAGATTCTGAGGGTTACCTGCCTCAACAGGTTTTTAATTCTGACGAGGCGGATCTCTTCTGGAAAAAGATGCCTAAGCGAACCTGTATAACAGCAGAGGATAATGCATTGCCCAGCCATAAGCCAATGAAAGACCATCTCACGCTATTTTGTGCCAATGCAAGCAGCGATTTGAAAATTAAACCTCTGCTTGTTTACTGTTCAGAAACTCTACAAGCCTTCAAGAAGTGTAAAGTCCAGAAGAGCAGGCTAAATGTGATGTTGAGGTCCAATAACAAGGCTTGGGTGACATGTGACCTTCTTACTGATTGGATCAATGAAGTGTTTGGTCCTTCTGTGAAAAAATATTTGCTTGAGATGAATCTGCCACTCCATGTCTTGCTTGTTATGGACAACGCTCCTGCCCATCCTCCAGACCTACAAGATGACCTTGAAAATTTTAAATTCATCAAGATCCAGTTTCTGCCTCCCAACACCACTCCATTACTCCAGCCTATGGACCAGTAGATTATTTCTAACTTTAAGGAGCTGTACACTAAAGCACTCTTTGAGCATTGTTTTGAGGTGACTGAAGGAACCAATCTCACTCTCAGAGAGTTTTGGAAATATCACTTCCACATCGTTGCCTGCCTCAAGATGATCGAAAAGGTGTGGGAAGGGGTTACCAAGAGAACCCTCACTTCTGCTTGGAAGAAGCTCTGGCCGGAGAGCATTGTCGAATGTGACTTTGAGGGGTTTGAGATAGTACCTGTGGAGCCTGTAGTCAACAAGATTGTGTCTTTGGCCAAGATCATGGGGCTGGAGGTGGATGACAATGATATCGATGAGCTTGTGGAAGAGCACAGCCAAGTGCTGACCACCGAAGAGCTTATGGAGTTGCACTGTTTCACAGCAAGAAGTTGTGGAGGAGAGTTTGTCAGAGGAGGAGGAGTAACAGCAAAGCAACAATCTTCTAGCGCAATAAGAGAAATGCTGAAAGCATGGGAAACTGTTGCATTGTACACTGAGAAGCATCACCCTAATAAGGCAGTGGCTATGTGCGCTACAAATTTATTTAATGATAATGCTGTTGCATTTTCACCAAATTGTGAAGTGTCGGTAAAAACAAATGTCTCTAGACAGCTTTCTAGTAAAAAAGAATTAGATATGTATCATAAAGAAGAAACTAATTGTTCCGATTTTTTTTTATTTCTGCAAATCGAATTCGCATTCCAGGTTGGTTCATTCCGCGCAGAAGAAAAGATGAAGATGATTCACGCTCCTTAACAATGGATATATAATTTTTTTTAATAAACATTATACATAATATTTTTTTTTGAGTATTTTTTCGGCATGGAACGCATTATCAAATTTTACATTAATTTATATGGGAAAAATTGTTTTGTTTAACGAGTCTTTTACATTACGAGTAAGATTCTGGAACGAATTATGCTTGTTAAGTGAGGTTCCACTGTATTACAATCACTTAAAAATACACATCAGTAAATGGTAAAACAAGGCAGCAAAACAGTGCACTTTACCTGAAACTCCCTAACTTCTTCCCTTAGGAACCTGTATGCTCTCTGAGCATCTTCATCGGACTCAAATGTAACGTACCAAGAATTATTGTGTGCAAATTCACATGATATTAATCTGGGACAACCTTCTCCAGCAAATAAAGCCTGCAACATAAAATAAACAAAGACAATTTAATCCAACAGTAATATGCAGGAAGAGTTTTACATTAACAGAACTGAAAAACTGCACACACATACATACAACACCACACACACACACACACGCATAAAGATACATAAATCTATCATTCCTAGAAAAGGAAAGCATATACAAATCAAACTACAGTATTTTCATCACAAACAATAACTGTTCAACATTTGAATGTTTGCACTATACTGGGGAGTACATGCTTTTTAAAGAATGTACAAGCAAAAGTAATATGCACATAAAGCAGCCAAACACCTATCCATATGTTCCAGTTTCTTGCAAACAATGAACACAAAAGGAAAGAATATAATTTCGGTTTCTCACAAATGGCCCCCGCCAAAAAACTCCGTGGCTTTAGTCCGCAAGTGAACTATACTGACTGAGCGGCCACCACTTGTCGGTGAAGTTAGTGCCAACTTTTGCGGATAGAGGGTGTCGCATGGTCAGCGCAACGAATCCCCACGGCCATTAAATTCAGTTTTCTAAACTGGAGCAGCAAGTTCCTTCAAATAGCTCCTCAATTATCACCACGAGGTTGAGTGGACCCCATTTCAGACCCATTACTTCCCAGAAAATCTGGTAGCACCAGGAATGGCACACAACACAAAAAGAAAATTAGGCAGATGCTCCCCTTGGTAAGATAACCATGAAAATTGACAATTTTTGCTTTTACAAGCATGTGATAAGAGTCCAAGTGAATTTCCTTCTCCATCTTTTCTCCAGGACACCATCTGGTTTGTGGTGATAGCTCCATATATGCTATAGTAACCATGGTAAGAAACATGTTTACATTATGAAGTGATGTATTTACAGTAACTCAGACCTGTGGCAAATAACTTAGCATATTACAATTTTATGTGAAATTGCAGGCATAAGTCATATAATGGGGGAATACCATTTTTCTTTATATGACTGCCCCACAACAATCGTTTTGAAGGCCACAAAAATGAACAGTTTTTGGCCCGAGAATCTAAAGATTTTAAACGTAAGCAGACACCATGAAGAGCAAAAACAGTTTCTGAAACTAACAGAGCACATGAAATTATAATAAATGTACAGGAAGAATTGATACAATTTGATGGGTTATGCATATGAACAGCTGCAAGTTCTGGAAAATGGGTGATTTCAGTACTACATCACGCATGGCATTGGATGTCTACAAAATGTTTAGCGAAGAAACATAACTTCGGTTCTACTCTTTCATTACTGGACAATGAACACTAAATGGTTCAATTCACAACTTAAGCACTTCACATCATGAACGAACAGCAACGTATCTAATAACTGTAGCTCACTATGAAGGAATACCATCAGACCACCAAACTATCAGAATATAATGTTATAACACTGAATATTTTTAATCGTAACTCTGAAAATAAGCATATTCAATGTGAGATCTAAGGTACAGTAGTGACTAAGCAGATTTCTAATCCTCTGAAAGTGTGCATCAATGGGTTGTTACTAAATACACGTGATATAGTCATTAATTTAGTGGACTGTGGTTTTATCACATCACATTACTAGGTATTCACATACACCTACACAGATCCACATCATCCTTCAAAATAGTTGCCGCTGGCCGCAATGCAAGTCTGCCAACGTTGATATAGCTGCCACATATCACAAGTCACATATCTTACAGTTTTAAAAAGCAAGAGAATGCCATTTTTGACAAGTATCAAACAGCTTTTCAATATGCAAAAAGAGAGATTACACAAGAAATTATATTAGAAATAGCAAACATTGAATTTCCTGCAGCCTGCTAATTTATGTCTGCGTGAGACTTCTTGTCTCCTGGTCTGTTTGAAAATTGTCTTTACAAAAAATATTTCTACTAAAATTTTAATATTGATTTTGATATCAATTAGTTCTAAAAGTTGAGGGGCCGCACATTTGACACGGCTATTCTACACTTTCACAACAGTAGCAAACATTAAATTCTACTCCATGGTAAGTACTGTATATACACATAACTTACTTTAACTTCTTCTAAAGGTGTATTGTCCGGTATTTCACGTAAAATAACTATGCACCGCTTATGATTTGGTCGCACCTTCTGACCTTCCTCATCCACTTGCACATTTGGCGATTCTAAAACAAATTCAACATACCTTCAGCATAATATATAATCAAAAGTGAATTTACAGTTAATAACCTCAGGCATATAGGATTAATATGGAAGGGGGAAGAAGAAATTACAAATCTGACATTCATACCAAGCATATATGATAATCATGTAATTAACAGAAGACTAGTCAATTCTAAACTAAACACTGTCATGTATTAGTTATTATTCCTGTTTCATATCTGGGAGAACCCCTATTTTGATCTCATTCTGAGGTGTAGTGACTCAAATGACTTTGGTTATTTTCCTCGGGGTTTTCCAGAGAAATTCTGAAATCTTACCTTGACATGGATCATAACTACCTCAAAAGACTAACAGTATTTGTACACTTATAGTTGACACTATACCCAGACAAGCCATCTGAGACCCTCCTTCAGATCCTTCAGCTGGTCATGTAAGAGGGACACAGGCTATTCATGCCACCTTGCTGCAGCTTTGTTCAGACTTGTGGTATGATCAACAGCGTATATACATTACAACTTCTATCCACTATCATCCCAAGAAAAATCTCTGAAAAGCCACTGTGAAGCAAGCTTATGTGCAACATGTTGATCAAAAATATAATCCCAAAACCCAGTTACTGTATGAAACATTCTGTCAGCTGCGTCACTTCTTGTGTTGGGAAAAAGACACGAGGGTTACCTACTGAAATATATGTTCATGTAAAACACCCATTTGAAAAAGTAATGAAAAGATGGAGATAAATTCCAGGATATCACAGTTCCAAATAAAATATTTATACAATTGTACAAACAGGGTCATTATTAGACTTGTGAGTTGAGGGCTGAATCAAAATGTGTCTGCACTTAAGAGAAATTGGACACAACTGGTGCTAGGCTTGAACATTCATCTTGAAAATCATTTAACACTTTACCAAGGAGACTGGTTTAGAGCGTTTCATGTTTCAAGTTTGCTTACTTCCATGAAGGAACATTAACACATGAATGTGAACATTCTGTGAATGTGCAAAGAAAGGGTGTAAAATAACAACAGCCATTTCTAGCATCTGCTGTGTTGTGTGTGCGCTCATGATTGGTTGGACTATTGATCTGCCGACTATGCCACAAGTCCAAATGAGTTAAGTGAGATGGCCAAGTAACGCGTGCACACTTGCCTGATGGGACACAGGATTTTTGTGAGGATCTATGACAAACTCCCTATAAATGTTAATTACAAATAAACTATATCCTAATTACATATAAGAGTGTTAAACCTACCCCTTAATACTTCAGTAATTAATTTTATATCTTTTGTTAGTTTCTTCACTTGATTAAAATTTGCAACAGTCCAGATGGGAACGTATTGGTCATTATCCATTTGAGACAGCAAGTAGGTATCATTAGCCAGGTTCTCTCTGAAAGACAAAATATAAAGAATGAATATCAAACTAAGATCCTGTAAGAAACAAAAAGGTATAGCACAAGCAACATATTCCAGACTTCTGATCATCCTCTTTGGAGACTTATACTGCTGAACTGCATTGTATGCAGTCATCCACTCCACACACTCAAATTTTCTCATTCTCTTTATGTAAAATTATTAATCACATAAGAAAATGCCATATTTCACTATTCATGCATCTACATACAATTTAAAAGAACACTGATACACCATCTCTTCTCCTCACAAAGAATTATTTCTGAGTATCCCTTCATGACCCAAAGCAGCATACATGAACATGCTTCAGGTGCCACCATCTGCGGGTGGGAACAACACAATGCTTGAGTGATGGTGTACCACTGGTGCTTAAACTGACAGTTTAACAGTTGTTAACAACAAATTAAGTACTTCTTCTGTGAGCAACATGTTTTCTTTTTAAATTATCAACCTAAGACAGTCTTCTACAAAAAGAGTGGCCTGTAGTCCGCCAGAGAAATATACTGACTATGCGACTGATGTTTGTCAGCGAAGTTGGTGCCAACTTTAGTGGATAGGGGGTGTCGCATGGTCAGCACAACGGATCCCCACATCTGTTAATCTCGGTTTTTTTACACCGGAGCTGCTATTTTTCCATTCAAGTAGCTCCTCAATTGTCCTCAAGAGGCTGAGTGAATCCCATTCCAGACCCACTACTACTCAGAAAATCTGGCAGTGCCAGTAATCGAACCTGGGACCTCTGAATCTGTAGCCAGGAACTCTGACCACTACACCACAGAGACGGTCATGGCCTCTACAACAGTATGAAATTACATCACTTGAATTAACCACAAATGGAGAATAATTTTACGTTTCTTCTGGCATATCTGCTGAGAATTTAACAGAAAACAGAAAAAAGTTTTTTTTTTCTGAAGACGTACACTACAATAAAAATCCTGTGGCAATTTTATAACTCAGAAGCAGTATGCACAAAGGTATTATGTAACTGATCTAAAGAAATGTTAGTAATTTTTAAAACAGAACAAGACAAAAAAATGTATGGTTTGCACTGAAGAGTCCACTAAGTATTTCAGCAACATCTTTAGGGAATAAAATAAAAGACACAAAATCTAATGGTAAAGGGACTTGATGCTTAATGTTCAACATTATAGTCACAGGACAACATTCTGAGATGGTTCAATACAATATAAATCACTAGAACTATTTTACTGATTTATATTTTCAAGCTGCCTCGCTCATGTCATCTCAATCTCTGCTGTGGTTGGTCACTTTAACAGTACGTTTCTGTGTTACAGTTGTTACGATTCTCACCACAGCAATATGGTAACCTTCACCATTCTCCATGCTTAAAAACGGTATCAGGTTTCTGAAGACATCTTTGGAACAGTACGTATATAAAATATTTCATCTACATATACTTTTTAACGTTTTTACAGCTACTACTGCCAATGAAAACAATAACACATTTGCAACTGAAATACAAAAAAATTCCGGTCTGATAAAAGATTTCATTGTATAACCATCTAGACAGGGGCCAAACATGATAGACTATGAACAGAACTGCATTCTATTATTGGGTTACAAATGTATGATACACAAACGACATTAACAACGAAGGATTCTTCAACAAGAATGCATGTTTTGTAAGTTCCAAATGAAACTCTCATCATCTGCCTCAGGTTATTTAAATCGATTTAAAGCTTCCAACATTAATTGGTTAATGCCTGGCATTTACATTAGGCACAAGGAAGAAATTTTATCATATATGAAAGGTAAGGGTAATTCCATGTGAAGTAATCCAGAGAGGTCGTTCACCATTTTTTTAAAAAATTCATATTTTGTACGTTCGTACATTTATTTCTACATATTTTGAAACTTCAAAAATATTTTTTAAAAAACTGTAATCTGCTCGGTTCTCCCGGTACAGCCGTTTTTATAATGCGAAAAAAAAAAGCGTTTTCATCTCAAATGGAGGTTTGCGTTATCTTCTGTATCTCGCTAACTATTGAAGCTAGAGAATCCATTGAAAAACCAATTTGTTCCACATGATATGGACTATAACTCATGTTGTTATAAGGTTTTACTCAACTCACTTCCTCAAGGTCTAAACAAGCTTGAAAATGATCGATTTTGGAAAAAATGATGTTTTTCACCTTCAGAAACCAATACAAAGGGGAAAGTATCAGATCTGTGGTTTCTACCCTTTGTTGTTTCATACATGGGGAATATAATCATAGGTTGAACCCCATATCTAGTTTCCAGAATTTTCCAGGAGTTTTCAAACTTTTCTCTGGCCCAAAAATCGGTTATTTTTAACATCTCATATCTCCGGTGGAGAAGCCCCCAAAATTTTGAAATTCATAGCAAATAATGCTCTATTCTAGAGTAACTTGGAGTTAAAATTACAACTTTGATATTCAACTAATAGCAAAGTTGTGGGCACTTTGAATTTTACAGATTGTGCAGAAAATTGTTTCTCGTTCAAGACAAGATTCAAAGTTTCCCCTGGGTAAATCAACAGACTACACTTCACCCTTTTGTGTATTACAAGGCGGACAGTATAACAAAATGCTGAAGCTTGTGTATAATCAGTGATCATGTAAAGCACGATACAACCACAGTTTGTGTTCCAAAAATTTCTTATTGCCGATATAAAAGATAATGTGCCTTCAGTCAGGAAAGTTATTTCAGTGATGGCGGTGGAAGCCAATATAAAAACAAAAAGACTCTTTCAATTCATGTCATCACTATGAAGACTTCGGACTTGAAGCAGAATGGAACTTCTCTGCCCCCTTGCACAGGAAGAATGCCTGTGACGGTACTGGCAGCACCACGAAGAGGCAAGCAGCGAAAAGCCAGTCTTCAAAGATTTTAATCAAATCATGTGCCTGCTAGAACTGTAAATATTCTACACAGAAAATATCCCAGGGATAGTTTACTTTTTTGTGCCAAAAGAGGAAGTTGCAAGAAATCAAATCATTCTAAAAAGCAGGTTCCAAAAGTGCAAAACTGTGCCTCACACAGGAGAAAAACACCAGGTCATCCCTCTGGAGGAAAACATGGTCAGGTGTTATAAAACATCCAAGTCCGATGATTTCAAAGACATCGTGATAGTGGACACTTACTGAACTATGTGTACATTCAAACAAACTGGACAATTTTCATCGGAGTACACAAAGAACTAATACCACTGGATTAAGGTAAGCCAGTTGATGAGGCATTGATCTTTTTTTGGCAAAATTCAAAGTGCCCACAACTTCGATATTAGTTAAATATCAAAGTTATAACTTTAACTCCAAGTTACTCTGGAATAGAGCATTATTTGCTATGAATTTCAAAATTTTTGGAGCTTCTCCACTGGAGATATGAGATGTTAAAAATGGTTGATTTTGGGCCCAGAGCAAAGTTTGGAAGCTCCTGGAATATTTTGGAAAATAGATAAGGAGTTCAAACTACGTGATTATATTCCTCATGTAGGTAACAACAAAGGGTAGAAACCACAGATCTGATACTTTCCCCCTCCCACTGGTTTCTGAAGGCGAAAAATAGCGTTTTTCCCAAAATCGATACGTAAGTTTCAAGCTTAATTACACCTAGAGGAAGTGAGTTGAGCAAAAACTTGTAATGACATGATTTGTAGTCCATATCATAAGGAACAAATTGGTTTTTCATTGGAGTCTCTAGCTTCAATAGTTATCGAGATATAGAAGATAACGCAAACCTCCATTTGAGCCAAAAACGCGTTTTTCGCATTATAAAAACGGCTGTACCGGGAGAACAGAGGGGATTACGATTTTTGTAAATATATTTTTGAAGTTTGAAAATATGTAGAAATAAATGTACAAAATATTATTTTTTTTTTAAATTGTGAGCGACCTCTCTGGGTGACTTCACATAGAATGACCCATAATGGTTAAACTGTTTTGAGGCCATAACTGGTATTGTTAACAGATAACAGGAACCCCTACAACACAAAGGCATGGTAGTCCTAACCACAAGATAATCTGCATGCCTTCACCTTTCAGGACTAGGCCACAACTGAATGCCAAGTGCTTTCCAACACTTCAACAAATCCCACACTTGCTATCTTAATTGTTAATTGTGAAGATTGTAACTGTAAGGTTTGTTGACACATATTGAAATCCTCTACACTTGATGCAACCTGGCCCTGAAAGCTGAAGCCATATATTAAACCCCCATAGTGATTATCTATAGGGGGGAACCCAATCTGTTTCCATCCAAGCTAAATGGGAGTCAATATTTTATTTCATATTTCAGCATTGGTCAGCATATAAATTAAGAAGCAATTAACGAACCAAAACCTTCACTATATAATTTACAATACTTTCTTTATTAAAACTGTGTTTCATCCTCACTATCAATATTAGTATTTATGAATGACTACACATATACTTCTTTTGGCTTATTTTGGACTTCACCCATCGTCTGGTATGTAAAAGACAAAAAGACAAAAAACCACGACGTTTCCGGAGACTGGATCTGTCTCCATCTTCGGGTGGATGGGGAAGGATAAACCTACTCAGTTGGGCCCCTTAGAAAGAGCTAGTCTCAATCACTGGACAAACCCCGGTCTGTAGAAAAACAACCTATGAACAACCGACAACCGGTTCCATCAGTGGGAGGAAAGGATAAAATCACAGTAAAAACATGATAGAAAATTTGTGCCAAGCATGCACTTGTCAACAATGTAAAGAAACAGAAGTATAGGTTATATTCCATGAATTCAGTTAAAAACGAAAGTAAAAACTGGATAATGTATGCCTAATCTGCGTGGATAAAGAATCGTGCTACCATACCATCGTGCCACTACACCTATAGTTTGTGAAACCATCTGAAAACCACACAACATTCAGCCCCTCTGTAGCATACAGGGTGTCCCAGGAGGAATGGACCAAACTTCGGGAGGGTGTTCCTTATGTTAAAGTATGCCGATATAACCCAAAACACCTATGTCCAAAGTTGAACGGTTATGGAGATAATGGCCAGAGAAGTGTCAAACTTTGACCGGCGTTGCACAGTTGTTGATTACAAAATACATATTAAAACTGGCAGGAATATGTGGATTCTGTAATGTTAATAATGTACGTAACATCAAACTAACTTGTGAGTGACATGAAGCCATAAAATTGAAGTACAAAATACTCGCTCGCCATGTCATAATTGTCCTTAGGGTTTCCAAGCACTATACATGACACATGAATGGCAAGCGCTGACGTAACGTGCTGACTGCGCGTTCTGATAAAGCCAACTACATAAGCACGGCTAGGGTGAATCACGGCACTCAAGGACAAACATAGATAAGGCCTCTCAGCTGAGAGGTACAGTGTGTGGACCTGCCAGAAGACCACACTTTTCTTGGGCCATTATCTCCGTAACCGTTCAACTTTGGACATTGGTGTTTTGGGTTATATCGGCATACTTTAACATAAGGAACACCCTCCTGAAGTTTGGTCCATTCCTCCTGGGACATCCTGTATACATTTCCCATCCCCACAAAACTGCATATTTCTTCCACCATGCAGCTTCCACTATTTAAATTACATGGACAACCCTATAAGTTAGTAATACACTGCAACTATTAGTAACTATAATTATTTGGTACTGTACTAATCTGAATGAGTGCATCTGGGACTACTGTGGGCCTAAAACATCTCTAAGAGTGAGTATCTTCAGATATCAGCTGAATATACAAAACAAGAAAGAAAAAAGACTACCACCCTGACAAAATACAGGGCCAAGACTCACTCCACTGACCAGTACACATCTAGAAGATCTGAAAGTTCATTAGCCTGTCCAAAGACACCATCACTGGACCTCATCCTCAGCCAGTTTAATTCAACACAAAAACTATAAGCTACTGGGTTTTCAAGTCCATAGTTTCAATAAATTTGTTATGGTTCTCCCAATTTTTTTTTGTCATTCCTGTCTCTTGTGCAAGGCTGTGAAGAAGCTTACAAGCAAAATTTTTAAGTTCCAGTACCATCCAACTTTTCTTGTATCAACACACAATGAAGTTTCAGTTGCCAGTCTAGTAACATTCCACTTCTAATTTTACTTACAAGATTCTAAGTAGTGGGAAACTCTTCTGAATTTTCTTGGACATTTCTTAGTGAATTTTCACTTCACATAGTTCTAGTGTAAACTTATCCACATTGAACACAACTGGATCTTAACAACAATATTACTGAAATTACATTTTTACAAAAACACAACTGTGCATACTTTTAGCTATGTGACCAACTAATTTTTTGTAAAAGTAAAGTAAAGGTATCCTTGTAACAGGCCGTGGAGGCCCATAGGGTTGTGAGATGTCAAGGTTCCCACATTTTCTAGACAATCAGCTAACAGATGGCAGCAAGGTTGTCAGCCCTATGCACTGGCTGCCCTTTACCCCCAAGAATATTCCTGGTACTCATTTCTGTTAGTGGCTGAGTTGACCCCAGGGCCATAATGTGGCTGGAAGGATGAGGTCAACTGAAAAAAATCCAATGACCGCATCGGGACTTGAACCCACAACCTTCTGGCTTGTAACATAGTGCCTCAACCAACTACACAACTGTTCAAAACTGACAAGTTTTATTTCAAATTGATATTCAGCCAAGGCTTTATATGAATGTAAATGTGAGCATACAAAATAGTACACACTGTAACACAGAAAATCCATTTTGTGACATAAAAATCAATATATAATGTGTTTTATGAAGATATAATTAATTCTTAGAAATAAGTATGGCAGACGCTGTATGTGGACCAGTAAACCTTCACCATACAATGTTGCTACAGCCTGTGGTTACAGCTAACCAAAGGATGAAAAACAGCAACCAATGCAATGACAACACTGTCCTGGCACATCTACCAAATAGCCTGCTGTTAACAGATTAGATATTCTTACCAATAATACTCTTCTCATTCCTAGCTACCAAAGTAGCAAACACAAACACCACAGTCATTTCTGCCCAGGCCTTGTTGCCCACAAGTAACCCCTTACTTAATCAGACAAAGCCAAAAACAAACTTCCAGAATCCTTGCCACACTTCCAATTTAACTTTGCTATCTACGATCTTATATAACATCTAGATGAGAAATACTGCAAGTACTGAAGTCTAACATCTACATTAGCTCTGAAGACACAACAAAAGTTATGGCCATCACTTAAACTGTACAACCTAACATGCAAGGACGAAAATTCTGGCCACATCAAACGCTTTTATATGATCTAATAGTAATAAATGGTAATTGGGTTTCTGGACTTTTTCTAACGGACCCAACAGAATAGGTGTTTCCCCTTTCCTTCACCTGAGGACGGAAACAGATCCAGTTTCCGAAACGTCACAGGATGATGGATAAAGTCCAGAAACCCAATATATCAGTGTTATACACCATCGTCAGAATCCTACAGTAAGTAATAAATGGGTTTCCAAGTTCTGCAATCTATTTTTTATTACATTATTTGCCTATTTTACTAAAAAATATTGTCTACATACAAGTTCCTGTTTGAAATCCAGATTGTTCTTTTATATGGACTGCTTAATTGCAGTAAGCCAGCATAATTATTTCTGAGTATATTTCATACACTGCACACAAACACATTCTGTAATTCTCAAATTTATTCTGACAATCTTTATTAAACATGGGTTATCACCATTCATTCTTAATGGGATCCCACTCATTATCGAGCAGTGGCAACACAACTCTAACAAATGTTTCTACGCTTTATCTGAGATGTACTTCAACAAATTCTGTATCACCATTTACTCTGACTCCCTTTGTTTGTTGAATTCTAGCTCATAATATTCTACTTCATCTGCGCCTTTTCAGGAGTGAGCAATCCCTTTCCTTTTTTATTATTTTTATCATTCTGAAGGCTACACTCTTAACATCATTTTCTTCTTTATTTGTATATTTAACAATTTTATACATGTTCTGCCTGCCATATAAGTTATATTATAATGATGCAACGTACCTATCCAGACTTTCTCTATTTCCTTCACTTTCCCATTAACTACTGCAGATCAATTACAACCTTATGTTATTCACTGAAAGTAAGATACAATATTACACCAACACAATGAGGAAGATCAGACCAGGCATGTGACAACAAATCTATCTCAAACAGCTATGAAAGTAATAAAAAACCAAACAAAAATTAATTTCCCCATATCAACTGCATGCTTCAGCCATTCATTTTCCACACCACAAACAGTAATTACAAGAACTGGAACATAAAATGTACACTTTGTCTCTCAGAGCATACCAATAACACTTGTAATACAAAATTCCTAAGGTCATGGACTGACAAACATACCTTGATGTATATCAGATAGCTCTTTGGGGCCACATTTCACCAAGTCATTACAACTTTCCTAGGGGGGGGGGCCATGACAAGACAAGTATGCAGATGGAGACGACACAGGTGCCTTTCTTGCGAATACAATATCACATAAACACATTTGTGAATGAGCATAAACATGTTAACATGATTAAGGAATTGTTTCATGAAAATGTAAGGTCTACTACGCAACTGACGTATAATCCATTCGAGCAAATCAATTTCCAATTCCAAACATCCATGGCTCTTCAGACAGATAAAAGCAGGACACAAGAAATTACATTTGCAGAACTTACCTTGAGAAGTAATACTCAAGTTGAGAGGAGAGCATCTGCTTTAGCTGGTCCAGGGGGATGCCACCACCCGGTCCAGAAGGATTCGGGTCAGTGGGCGATCCCCCTGGCGGAGTGCTGGTTTGGGCGTACGTCTCCAGCGAGTCTGTTATGCCATTCAGTGTGCTGGAAAAGAGTAAATATTTAGATGAGGATTTCTTGTGATCCAGACACTTCTTTTGTAAAATACAGATTAGTAGTATTCCTCATACAGCTGCTGGAATTCATTAAGACTTCACTTCATGAATCCCCTGATCTGACAAGTTTTCCATTGTTTAGTATTTTTAAACTCATTACCAAAGCAATACCGCTCTCATTAGTATCAAAGAACCTCCTTCACAGATGTAACATTTCCTTTTCATTATGGAACTCAGTCTTCATTTACATACTGTCATATACAGAACTAACTCCTGGTCAAAGTCAAAGTCACATTGCAACTGACGGACGGTTGGTCGGTCGGTCGGTCAGTCATGTTTCATTTTAGATGAAAGTTACTGTCCTGTCCATGTGGGGGGCCCTCTCTGACAAGAGGTCGGGTCTGCCATTTGTCAGTCATAGCCAATAGTATTAGTCCACTGTCATTATGTACACTTATTTACAATTTAGTCTTAATATCTAGTATGTATAATATATACAAGGTCTCTATCAGTCTAGGCTCAGTACAGCAGACTATACCCTATTTCTAGTAGTATTCGCTACCGTGGCAGTCTAGTCACTTGAATGGTTGTATGCCTGACTGCTGCCATAACTCTTGGTTAGCCTCGGATGCTCATTATACAGCCTCGGGGCAGACCCAACAGAAAACACCATTTCCTAACAATCGCTCCAATGCTGCTTGTTTATTCATTGCTGCGGGAACGCATTTAATGAGTCGTTGCCTACCAATGAACATCTACTCTTGCTCCACTATTCTGGCATTCAGACGTCATGTCACAATACCAACAGCTGACAACTCTTGACCTTATGTCTGTCACCACTTGCATAGCAAAGCAAGCAAACATTTGAAATACTGTCAGGTATTACCAAAAGAAAAGAAATAGAGGGGGAAAAAAAAAACATACTCCAGTGAAGACTAACACGTTTACTTCAGGAAATTTCACCATATTTAGGGTTGTAGGATTGAATGACCCATCAGCTATACTTACCTCAATTATTGGGATACTATTAAGGCTCTCACACAGATGCGATACGATTCGGGACGAAAACGGCTGTTTACCGAGTGGGCCATGCACACAGACGCGACACTCGGGAATCTTTGACACCCGATAACCAGCTGACCATGACTCACACTCAATCAGTATCTACACGTATGTGAAACGACATGGGTAGCCAAATGGAACAAATAATAGTTCGTCAAAGAAAATGCTTTATTGTACGATACTTGTAATCCGATGTACAAGGATTCACGTGCTAAGGACAGAAAGTGGAAGGAATTGGCTATTACAATGAACAGAGACAGCAAGTAGAAAAATTTGTATATATTTATACAGGGTTAAGTATACAGTAACTTTGAACATTCTTAATGTAGGCTATGCACCAGTTCCGTTCACTAACATCAATTCCAGGGGCAGTCCTCTAGTTGAAGTACTCAACAAACCACTCTCTAATGGCATAGCTAACGTTTGCCGCCCTTGGGAGATGTAAAGGTTGGATAGGGAACATTTATCCTTCTAATGGCTCCACTTGTAGCAGTTCTTCCCTGTACTTTTCATCACAGTTTTTGAGACCTAGAAAATTATGAAGCAAACACGCTGCTGATACAATGTGTTTTATATTTCCTCCTTTCAGTTCTATGGGTCTCAAAAAAATCCTCCACTTCATGGCAAGAACAGGCCTCCGCCAATTGGTATATTGTTTAGTGATATCTTGCCTAATGGCTCTCAGGATTTCATCAAACCTGTCAATATTCATCCTGAAATATATGTAGAACCGTTTTTCGTCCTTCAGGAGTTGGGGTATCAGCGTATAAAACTCCCCCAGTTCCTCTCTTGACAAGTTTATATCATGAACCCAACAGATTCATCTCCTTCGCCTAAAATAGGAACACACATAGCAACCACTTATACATACTTAATCAGAGACCCATTATGGAACTGTACATATTTGTACATGTGTGTGACATACTGAATATGTGGAGGAAAAGAACTATGCAGATTTAGTGTTCAGTAAAATACTTACCGGGATTCACCTTCGTCTTCATCAAGAGCGAAAGCTAAAAGCAAAACTTCTTCCTCCAAAGATTTACCGCTGCGATACAGCGTGGTCTACCGAGTGCGCTTGGTAGACTGAAATACTTAGGCGATATACCGACTGCGATAATATCGTGTTCCTCGGAGTCCCGCGCCAGTGTGTGGACCTCCATTTACCGCAATGTAATTAGATATCGTCCCGTACCGTACTGAGCTGAGTATCGCGTCTGTGTGTGGGAGCCTTTACTTTAAGGAAAAATCTTGTGGTGCAGTCAAATGCAGTTATTCCTTGGAAACCATTCATATTACCAAAGAGAATGGTAGGGCCCACAGAACAAGTATTCTTAGAACAGAGACGCACACCTCAACCCATAACTCTCACTACTTTAAAATTGTAAATGTGCTGCCTTTATAAGGAGTTGTTACCAATTTCTGAGAATTATAATTGTGCAATTTGTAACTCTTAACATTATGTGTATACTGACTTAACAATCTCTGAATGTTAGTAGAATTCAACCCTCACATACTATGGCATATTGAAATTAAGTTTCAGATACACTGTGTATGAATATATCCCCCCCCCAATTTTTCTAAAGTAATGTTTTCAACTAGCTTCTTGTAACTTGCAATACGTCTACAGTAAACAGAATGAAGAGGCATAAGTGTAGTGCGGTTTAGGCTGACACCCTGTAAGTGAACAGGTCTACAGTAATAGTGCTGTGGTAAGGCACACAAACCTTTTCCTTGATATCATACACTGTTAACCAAATTTTGGCAAAATTCAATTATCACCTTGCTAATGCTTTTGCTATTTTGAGTAAATTAGGTCTTTATGATTGACTCAGCACTTCATAAAACAGCAATATCAAAGTTTCTTGTAAAAGTGTAATATATTACCTGTAATCAGTGCTTGTGGAAGCAGCGGTGGCCAGGGGATCAGGGGTGGCTGGGTACACCGCCCCTGAAGGGAGCTTCCCAATGTCCCCATTCATGTACACGTAACCTGCAATAAAAACAAATTTTGTAACATGCCTATGTTGATTCACATTCCATTTGGTTATCATGAAAGGTACAAAATATTAAGCAGAAAAGCTAGTGCAGCAGAAGTATCTTGCATGCCAACCTGCCAACCTCTCCACAACTTGGAAACATTCTCTAATCAAGTATGGGACATGGCTGTAAAACAGTGATTGGCCATTGCGTGTGACTTGTGGAAGCAAAGGAGGAATGATTAAAGTAGGCATATGTTGAAAATGTGTTTCTACTTGCAGCAGCTGAACTTTTAAGACTGGCTGGTTAAGTCTTAATGGTATTAGAAACTGCAAGTATATTCAACTAAAGAGAACATAAACAGATTGTATGTTCAGCTTGTACACTACGTTAGTTAGGTCTAAGCTTGAATATGCGTCCGTAGTCTGGAATTCGATTACATCAACTGATGCCAACAAGCTGGAACGCATTCAGCAGAGGTTTGCGGCCCTTTGTTTTAAACGTTTCTTTCCTCAAGTTCATTACAATTATTCTCTTGCTCTTGAGGAGTTAAAATTACATACTTTATGTACTAGGAGACATCGCCTTGATGCTCTCTTTCTTATTCAAGTTTATTTTGGCTCTNTTTACTTTTACTTTTATTCATTATTATTTCTTCCAAGTACTTACTTGTAATTTGTATGTGACTTTTAATAAGTTTGACTATAATGTAATTCATTCATCTGCACCGTGCTGTGTCTGTAATTGGCCTTGCGGCTGTTGACTCGGCACATTAATAATAAAGAATGGAACTGAATTATTATTATTATTAATGCCGCTAGCATCATAACAGTTCATTACAAGTACCCCATACAAATTAACTGTCAAAGTTCTGTACTAAGAGATCAAATACTTGTATTTCATACCTACTTCTTATAATATGTTACAGTCATGTTCATAGTTTCTACTGTTTTAATTCAACACATTTTTTAAAAACTGTAGCTGCTGTTATAGACTGGGTCTTTGACTTTTTACAAACAGTTTAGGGCATGCAACACAGCCTTTCTTGAAAGGCTGAATGCTCCAGACCATCTGTAAGATGGGTAAGCAAGCAGTAGCTAAATGTGCTTTAACTGATAAATGGACAAGGAAAGACATGATCAGCATTGCTATACAATGTCTCTGTTACTGTTTGTGTTCTGTCACCCTGATTACAGCTATGAATGTCTCATTATATTATGCATCTGTTCCCTCTGTGCCTCTATTCTGGTAAGACAATCAAATATCTGCTTTGTGATCTCATCTGCAAATCACTGAACTGAGATGGTGAAACACTTGAGCAGTGGGTTTTCTCTTCACAATATTTATGTGAAAAATCATATAAACTGTGTGAAAGAAGGTTTCATCATATCCATAGGTACTGGAGTACCAGATTCATCAACCATTTCTGAACTGGTGAAGAAAGTGTGTTCAACTGGACCTTTCTCAGGCAAGAAATATACTATAAAGAATACTATGCTGAGGAAAAGCTTGATAAAATTGGAGCCAGATTAGAATACTGGTCTCACAAATCCCTGGCATGATTTGCTCCACAGAAACAATCAAATGAATAGTTCTGTCTACTACCATACACATCCAGAGAGGTTCAAGCCACTGAAGATTATTACTACAAGAGATGAATGAATTTCTGTAACTAGTTCTTTCAGGCAGTATATGACAGTGTTCTTCGCCCAAAACTTGCAGCATTTACTGATGAAGCCTGGTTCCATGTGAGTGGATATATGAGTGCTCAGAACAGGGACTACAGCAGTACCGGTATGACACTGCCTTTCTGGAGTATCCCTTCATGACCAAAACACAGGGTGCTAGTACTGCTACACAAACAGCCGGACCAATATTTCTTTCAACAGACCACCGATTTTGAGTGGTATGTCACCGACATTCTTTGGCCCTTTTTTTTGAGGGCATTACAGAAAAAAAAATGTATATGGTTACTTCACAAACAATATGACATCATACACCGTTAATCATTCCATTATTTTCAACATGGTGTTTATGGGGACTGAAAAAATTGCAGATTGTGGCCTGCAAGGTTTCTAATTTTCAGTCTGCACTTTTTCTGTAGTGAAACCTAAAAAACAAAGTATATTCAATGTGTTTCATTCTGGTCTGTTACACTAATATTATGAAAAAGTTAAATAGTTCCATTCAGTGTGACTGGTTAAGATTTTCTATTTCAATTATTCATTACCTTATATGTTTTGGTCTTCAGAGGGACACCTGTACATCAATACAATTAGAAGCCACTATTAACAGTACATGTTCTAAAAGATAAAATATATATATACAATTGACTGTAAAATCCAAAGTCTTTACAGCTACAGCGGCTGTTCCAATATTTTATTTTATTTATAGTTATTTTGTTAAGATTCTATTGGAATTTGTAAACCAAGGTGGTTCGTGTCGTCCCTCTTATTATTTCTTTTGATGGGGGCCGAATGTGCACCTCCTTGTCGTTCTTGAGAAGAGGGTTCTTTAATGTTGTCCTGTATGTGTTTGTGACCTGCTCTTCTTGAGAACGACAAGTTGGTGCACATTTGGCCCCAGTCAAAAGAAATAATAAGAGGGACGACACGAACCACCTTGGTTTACAAATTCCAATATAATCTTAACAAACTAATTATAAATATTTTAAAGTATTGAAACAGCCGCCGTAGTTGTAAAGACTTTGGATTTTACAGCCAATTGTATATTATTTATGTTGTATGTATATATTTTAACTTTTAGAACATGTACTGTAATAGTGGCTTCTAGCTGTGTTGATGTAAAGGTGTCCCTCTAAAGATGGTCTCTTAAGACTGAACCATGTAAGGGTGTGAATAATTGAAATAAGAAAATCTTAACCAGTCACACTGAACGGAACTATTCAACTTTTTCAAAATGTATTCAAATAACCCCCACATACTGCACAAACTCAAGCACAATATCTGTAAAACAATTACATCAACATCAGTGAACTAAAACTAGTATCAGACCAGCTTCTTTAGAAGAACTGAAGTTTAAGCAGAGAAAGGTGAATTCTGAGCATCTCATATGATTAAGAATTCTTCTAAAAATATATTTACTTTATAGAAGACTATAAGCTCACCACATACCTAAGATCTGGGAGTCCCTAACCTGTATGGCTTCTCACTATGCTGTTTTTACACTTGTTTTATTTTAAACATGGTTAGTTGGCAATTTAACAATGTTTAAATTTCTCTGTTCCCCCATTCTGACATTTAAATTCAACTGACAGCATTTAGGGCTATATCTTAATAAATCCAACCTGCATACCCTTGTGCATGGCCACTGAGGGTTACTTTTACCGAGTCACACTATACAATGGAGGGTTTCTTCATCATGCTATAACTCCTAAGTTTTGAGCACTCTAAATATTTTCGATTTTCTGATCTCACATCTTCATTCCCTTTTTGACAGTGACCTCTTAAATTGGTTAAAAGTTCAGCAGTGTTCTATATGAGAAAATGAATATGTTATGTGCAAAAGAAAATGCATCACCTCTTGGTTCTTCCTAATTCCACTAAATAAATGCCAAAGATATTATTTCAAATTACATTATGTCTAATTCCTTCAAACCCTGTGCTTCATTACTCATTTTCAATTTATTATTATTATTAATTTATATTACTGTGTAACTGGATTAAAAAAAGTTCACAAATGGGTCTATGAAACTAAAAACAATTTGTGCATTTGGTCAATTACCGAACACTGATTGGACAATTCAAAATGAAGTATAAGATGCTGAAGTACTCTCACTATTTTCATTTCACTATCATTCATTTTCGATCAAACGCTATTAATTTTAATAACATTAATTTCAGCCACTTATGGACCCAAATTTTCTAGTTTTAACCAATTTCATGACATGTTTTGAGGTCTTCACAACAGAAATTGGTATGTAATCACATTAACACGAAATTCCTGTAAGTTAAAATTGTCAAGGTAATGTGGGACCCTAAACGTCTCACAACCGTATGGGCCTTCACGGCCTGTTACAGGGATAGCTTTACTTTTTACTTACTTACATGTACAGGAAACTGCATAGCTTTTATTACATTCAATGAGTTAGCAAATTTGCTGCAATATGTTCTTTCTGTTGGATGACAACAAAACTGAAACACAGCGTGTAATTTTTCTTCACAACTTTGGTTTAAAACATTATTCACTCTCATAAATATTTACCAAGTTATGTCTGAGATGCATATACAATACATGTAGGTCTTCATATAGTGTTCCTTATTGTAATCAGATTTTAAACTGAACTCATAACTGCCATTTCAATTTTGTATGTCACAATGTTTGAAAAGTCAAGTTAGACGGGAAAAATGAGCATTGTTCTGCAGGATTCACTGGATGTGCTGCATACAATTCAACATATAATGCATTATTTCATAACTTCTGCACAACTGACCTAAGGAAGTTCATGTGGAAAAAGTTTCAAACCCCCATTTTCTTGAAGGAAAGGAGGGAAAGCAAAGAAGTTATGAATATTACTTAATGTTATAAGAAACTTAAAAGTGTCCCATATGCACATGCACTATGAACATAAGCATCTAAGCAGAGGGAGTAAATGTATTTTAAAATCACTTTTGTAAATATCACTAAAGTAATTTCATGCAATTCTGTGCAGTGTTCTAACGGTGCTTCCTGTTATAATGCTGAATCAAATGGACATAATTATTCTTTTTATTTTTAGTCACATAACATATTTACATACTAAATTGCATTTCTGTAACAAATGGTAATGTGGCAACCCTCAAAGTATTGTGAAATTGGTACTTATTATTCTTGTATTAGATGTCACGCTATTTTAGCTAACCATCTGCCCCTCCCCAATTAAATTCTTGTACACACATTATTTCCATGGCTTACTTAAAATTCATATAAGAATTCAGTGCCTTTAAAGTCAAAATAAGCAGAGTATCAGTATGACTAAGCATTATCAAAGAAATCTGCCATTTAACGTTATTG